GAGGAAAACAACCTGATCCAGGTCTGTGCGAAGCAGCTCTCTGCAATCTGTCAGCTGCTCACAGTGCTGTAACCCACTGATCACCGCCTCAGCCCTTCCATAAATACTGCAGGCTGTATGCTGCGTGTGGTTTACGGAACTTCACAGGTTTCCATGGATACGTGAATTTTAGTGCTAAAACACATTTACTATTGCTTTTCTTGTCACCAAGAGTCCTGTAAACACTTGTGCTTTAAGATTTTGTGCAGAATTTTAGCATTTTATAGAGGAAAAGTCAGAATTAACTTTTTTCCAAATACATTGCATGATTTTCCTGTAGGGCCAAGGCCCTGAAATCATTTATATCTCTGGCCTCCTTTTAGTGATGTATTTTTATTTATTAGACAAATAAAAGACATAACTAAAATAAAAACCAAAATAAAAGGCTTAACTACATGGCAGGATCATTTTCAAGTGACATATTTATAGTATGAAAATGTTACAATTAATAAATAAGGCAACTTGCTCTGAATTTAAATGTGAAAAGTGATAACTCAGGAAAGCAATTATAGGAATACTATGCATATATTTAACCATTTTTCTTCCTAAATATGGTGAAATTTAAGGGTGATTTTTAAAGATTTCTTTCTGTCATATTTATTAATAAACTTAAGTTTAAATTATTCTTTCTTATATCCATTAAGCTTTTTTATATAGTGAAAATCTGTGACTGTGGACTGCCACGGTCACAGATTTTTCCCATTTCATACATGTATAAGCAGAGGCTCAGAAAGTGTGTAAGGACCATGACCCATGTAATACTGCTAGCAAGGGGTTGAGCTGAGACTGGAACCCAAGACTCCTGTCTCCCTTCCCGAGGCTTTTACATTGTCTTTTTCTTGGGAAGAACACAGGCTACTTCTACAGAAGGCGTATCCATTTACTGACAGGTTTCTGTGCCTCTGTCCTAGACTCCATTGAATCATTCCTTTCTCTATCCATTCTTTTAACTGTCCCCAGAGATTTGAGTCTGCTAAATTTACCAACTTAGTTATTTCAAATGAACATCAGCATTGGAAAGCAGCAATCACAGAGGCCACTCTTATCTTGGATGTGCATGACTTGAGGAATCTACAAGAAAATGAATTTTTAAGTTTTAAGCATATTGAGTAAGAAAGCACAAAGCAGAGTGAAAGAGAAGCCTGAGAAATTTGTACAAAAAATAATACAATCCGAGCACTTGTCTGCACTTTCAAGTCAAAGAAAAAGCTTTTACTTTAATAGCATGGAATCTGAGGGCCAGTGTTGGAGCTATGGGAACAATGTCTCAACTCTCATGGTGCTAATGTAGCCAATGTATCATCTCTTCAGATATCTCCTTTAAAGCCAGGAGATCTTCAAAAGACCATCTTCATATCAGGTCTTATTCAGCTTGTATTGTACAGATCTTTTATTTTTGTGGGTCTTATTTTTTTAACAGCATGTAGACAATGTTTATTTATTTTATCTTTAATTATTAAGATACTTGAATTTATATACACTTCTTTTCTTACTTTTGTTTTGAATTGGCAGATAATAATTGTATATATTTATGGAGGGTGTTTTTTAGCTATTTTGAAATGTTTAATACAATATTGTTAACCTGTACTCTTTTTTTTAAGAGAGAAAATCTTTTTTTTTAGATATAGAGAGAGGGAATTTTCTTAATATTTATTTTTTATTTTTTGGCGGATACAACATCTTTATTTTATTTTTATGTGGTGCTGAGGATAGAACCCAGCGCCCCACGCATGCCAAGTGAGCACGCTACCACTTGAGCCACAGCCCCAAGAGAAAGAAAATCTTTTTTTTTTTTTTTTGTAGATGGACACAACACAATGCCTTTATTTTTATGTGGTGCTGAGAATCGAATGCCGGGTCCTGCCCGTGCTAGGTGAGTGCTCTACCGCTGAGCCACAATCCCAGCCCCTAACCTGTGCTCTTTTTAAATCTAAAAATAAGGCTTTAGGGCTGCAGGTGTAGTTCAATGATACATTGTGTATTTAGCATGCACAAGGCCCTGGGTTCCATCCCCAGCACCACACAATAAACAAATAAATAAATGCAATACTTTGCTTTTGTTGTCTAATGAAAGAGGTGTTTGGATAGAGGAAGGCTTTTGACTAAGACCTGGCTTCAGTTCTACCCTCTGTCCACAGCTCCATGTCTCAGGTCTCACAGTAACTGCCAGGAGCTGAACAGTCACAGGTTTGCTGTCAGCATCAAATGCACAAAAGATATGAAAGTGCCTTACTACCTAGAAGATATCTAAATACACAGAAATATATACAGGCTCGTTTTGAGGCCTCCATTAGTATCACACAATGCCAGCAATGCCAATTGATTTTAGTCTCCATGTGTTAAAAACACAAATAATGACTTTTGTTCCCTCACAGACCTTTTGCTAGAATGTGGACTATTTATTTAATAACAAACTTGACTAAATCATCTCCATTATGGTTATTTCAATATGTTTAAACCCAATCAGGCAGCAACTGAAAATGCTGTCCATTTAATAGCCAAAATAATGGGGAACTAGTAATTTGGCTGTAATCTAACATCTGCTCCTACTGTGTACCATGCACAGCTCTCTAGATCCCAAGATTATAGCTCTAGATTCAAACTTTGCCTATTTCTGCCCCAAGACTAATGCCTCATTTATGAATGGAAATGTTAATTCTGAGCTGCTGATCCAATAGAGTACCACCAGAGATCAACCATCTCTTCCACCGATAGATATGAGGGGAGACTCGGCCCTCCTGTACTACAGAGCTGTGTTTCTCCTATAAACTCCATTCAGACATTGAATGCATTTTATATATACCTGGCAGGAATCTAGAACTAAAATCACAAGATTTATTTCATTTTAATTCTATTATGAGGCATTTAATCACAAATAACCCCAAAATGAAAAGATAATTTATCATCTTGCCCTGACTGAGCAACTCTCCTCAGTTCACATTCATGAATCCATAATGCAGGGAGGAGACTGGATGATTAAGTGTCCGATTAGAGAAAACAGATTAACCTGGCAAACATAATAAATTTAGCTCATAAGCAGGATGGCTTTATAAATGCTCATAGTAACTCTCCTGTATAAAATCATGAACCACTTCCTTCAGTGATGACTCAATTGAAGTAGTTGAGGAGCATAATAAAATAAATGCATGTTTATGGCTTTCTCTTTGAGACATTAACAAGGTATTGAAAGGCATATCAGATTCAGTTTATAACTCTAACTATATATTAAATAGAAAACCTGAAGAAAAATGTTAGCACATAAAAATAACAAAGTTATGACCTCCCAAACATTCTAGTTTCTACTTTGCCAAAATTTTGTTTGCCAACGATATCTAGATTTCAAATACTTTCCGGGCACTCTATGTTTCCAAAGGTGCCAAAAACAGACCTCAAGTTTCAGATCATGCAAGTTTACCCATGATTTTCTTAATTGAACCCAATTCCTTAAAAAAAAAAAAAAAACTCAGCTGCATATTTAGGTAGTTCTTATTATGAATAACACATAAAATCAGCTAGCTATATTAGCTTTTGAATCAGTAGGGGGGAAATCCTCTTAACTGAAATTCCATTTACATCTGAATAAAAACCTAGAGCTAAAACATAGTGTACTGTGTATTCCTGATGAGTGTATTCTAACATTTCTAGGTGCAACAAGATAGGTAATCTTTGCAACCATGGTGCCTAGCACATGGTATCATGAAGGTTAGTTGGTTCAAGTGGCTGGGAGGGATGCAACAGTTCAGGTGAGGAAATAGTTAAAGAAAAAGAGCTCTGCAGTGCTCCAAAAGGTCCACTTAAGACTCTGCCAAGGCTTCCTTACTTAGCTGGTTAGTATTTCTGGCCTGTCTTTGTAGTCTTCATAGTCGAATTTCTTTTGTTGTTGTTGTTGTTCTAAGCAGTGAGTAAAAGGATACTCTCCACGCCCAGCTTTATTTTTAAACTTACAGGGCTATATTCCTGGAGACCTCTGCTGGCCTACCTGGCTTGGAAGAGTCAGTTAGGCCCTGCTTTGTCACATGAATCTGAATCACGCTGAATAAGGGACTTGCTCTGCTCATCTGTCTAGAACTAGGATCCTTTTCAGGGACAGGGCAAGGCAGGGCAGGGTAGGCAGGGAGGGGAATGAGCTTCTTGAGAGAATTTGGTCTTTAATAAAGAACCCATCTTATCCAGAGCCATGTAAATTTCCCACTGGAGGCCCAGCGGGGGGCTACTCATGTTTTTTCCATCGATCTTCTTGCTTCTCCCTACTCTGACTCTGTAAACCTTGGGCCTGGGAATGGTGACAGGGAGAAATCCAAAAGGAATTGGCTTTTGTGTATCCTCGCTCCTGGATGCTTTCTTGGAGTGCAGGGACCAGGATCTCTTCCTCCTTGGAGGAATTCATGTAGAGCTAGAACAGGGTGTAATATGAATTGCTGATGAGGGTATACTAACGTGTCTAGGTTCAACTAGATGGGTTACTTTATAACCGCAGCGCCTAGCACAGCGCCTGGTATCATGAAAGTTAGTTGCAGAAAGATTCAAGTGGCTGGCCGGGATGTAACTGTTCGAGGTTGCGCTCTGAGCGCTGGATTCGTGTGCTTCTTTGTGCATGGGGCGTGCTATGTCTGTGCTTCTGGGTCGAGGCGGGTGCAGCGGGTGCAGCGAGTGCAGCGTGTGCAGCGTGTGCAGCTTGTGTATGGAGGTGGGTATAAATAAAGGGTCAAACTAAGATGAACCGGCAGGCCAGAGGGCTGGGGCTCGGAGCGGGGCGGGGCGGACCTCTGGCTGCAGTGCCCCGACCTGGGGGCGGAGCAGACAGCCCTGAGCAGAAGCGTGGGGCGCGTGCGCTGCTGCGTCCCGAACGCAGTGCCTTGAGCTCCTAGCGCCCGCGGAGGGGCGGTCTTCGAGCGCTTGGGCTGGCGTTGGCGCTGGTGGCAGGCCAGTGGGGGTCCTCCGCTACGGCTTGGCCTCTTCCGGGTACTGATGGAGTCGTCCCGGATTCTCTAGGAGGAGGGTCCGCAACTGCGAGCCAGGGAGAACCCGGGACATCAGCACCTGCTGCCGGGTGAGGGGAGACCCCGGGCTTGAGAGTGAGGTGTGCTGGCGAAGCGAAGGAGGACCTCTAGATGCCCGGGAACCTCTTTCACAAAAGCTCCGAGGGTTAGAGAGCATCTGATCTAATTCATCCCCGCCCCCTCCCCCAAATGAAGGCACTGAGTCCGCAGGGGGGGGGGGGGCGAAAAAAGAGACTTGCTTCCTCCACTGAGGAGGCTATGAAGTGTCAGAACTGGGACTAGAAGCAGTCTGCTTATCAAGGCTTTTTACACCTACTATCCTTCACTGAAATGAATATGAATAGTAGTATTAGGGGTCAAGATTATCTTAGCATTTGATGGTGCTATTTGGCATTCAGGATTATGAATATGACTCATGTAATGGGAAAATTCAGCTACTTGTGACCTCCCTGAGCTTGAGTTTCTTATTCTTCCATTCATGAAACATTGGCTTGGTAGTTATTTGTGTCAAACACTCTGCCACGAATTGAAAGTCTAGAGATGAACAAGAACCAGCCTTCCATATGAGGCAGAAGAGAAAATTCCCCAGACACCAGTTACTGACACAGGTGTAGGAAGTGGGATGGGCCGTTGGAGAGAATGCTATATGGAAAATCAAAAGGAGATATCTTTCTGGCTGATTGGAGAAAGACCTAAGGGAAGAGGTGGCATCTGATCTGGATCTTTGCTTGGGGACATTTGGAAGTGGGAATTTCGGGTAAAAGGTTAAATGTTAGCAAAACAACAAACAAAACCCCCAAACAAATCCAGCATCACAAACAGCAGCCATCACCTTCAGATGTATGTGGGGGAAAATGGTTTGATTTATCTAGAATATAGGATGCGTAGAGGCCAAAATTATGAAGAAAGCAAAACTGGGAGTCAGTGATGGGGAGCTTTGGAAGATTCCAAGCAGAACATGTTGGTGGTGCTGTTGCTGAGGATAGTTAATTTACCCTGGAGTGGAACTCAGCAGTAGAGAGAGATTATTGGACCAAGGATCCATGTAGTTGTGAGGGTCTGAGATGCGCCAGTCTGGTAGCAAAGGGCTTCAAGGAAGCACTTCAGTGTAGCAGTATTATAGAGAATTCAGCTGAAATGGGAAAGGGTCCAAATCACAACAGGAGGCTGAGAGTTCCACTCTGTCCCTGACTATACAGGAAACACTTATTTCTTTTGATGCATCCCCAGGGACCAAGATGGAGCTATAAACAGAGCAGCCTGTTTTGGCAATTGAAATGGGAAATTTCTGCTACAAAGATGAAAGTCTTACCCTCATACCACTATATTATAACCAAGTCATGCAGTTCTGTGCAAGTGAACTGTTAAATTGAAACATCTTTACCTTAAAGTTGACACAGAGATTGTAGTAGGGGACTTTTTAAATGCATCTTTAATTGGTTCTGTGTTATCTCAAACTTATAAAGTACCATATTACACATCTGTGCCTGAATGAAATTGATAGATGTGGTCCAGGTAAATCACATTAGACAAGCATACAGGTTATAGCCATTTGCCTAAGGTTTGAGTCTGGGAACTTTATAGATGCTTCTTGCCTCACCTTGACACTTCCTGGGCAGGAGAGATGCAGGAATTCCCTAGCAAGACTCCACTTCCCATTACTCATTGGTTCTGCATATAAATGTTTATGTGAAATACATATTTATGTGCTTTTACAGCTTCTCCATCTAATAGGTGTTTGAAAGAAGGGAAAAGATGAAATGTTATTCAGTTATTCCTTTGATTAATGATATTAATCAATGGTATAAAAAAAAGGAGTATGAAGTCTGAAGTATGAAGATCTAAAATTAAATTCTAGTTTTGTCACTTTCTACCTGTGTGACATTAGGTCTGGCACTTAACTCATTAGAGTCTCCATTTGTTTCCTCATCTGTAAAATAGTGATCATAATAATCAGTTCACAATTGTTAACAAGTCACCACTATAATTCTCCCTTTTTACCTTTTTATAGCCACACCATGTTCTTCCATCACTTCCATAGCCGCTGACAACCATGATCCATTCTCTATTTTTATAACTTTGGCATTTCAAGGTTGTTATATACTGGGGAGATTATGAAGTATGCCCCCCCATTCAGCATACTTCTCTGGAGATTCATTCAGATTTTGTATATATCAATAATTGTTACAGGTTATGGAGAGCTGGGATGTGGCTCAATGTTGGAATGCTTACCCGGTATATTGAAGGCCCTGGTTTCAATCCTTAGCACTGAAAAAAAGAAATGTTGCATTTTATTCCATACTATACCTTCAGCACAGTTATCTTTTTGTCTTGACACATACTAATTGTACATATTATTGAGATTCAGTTTAATATTCCATCTATACATATGGAATATAAACACATGCATGTAATGTACACCACCCTTTTTTACCCTCCTCACCTTCTTCTTCCTAATCTCTAGTAATTACTATTCTACTTTCAAATTAACTTTTTTTTTTCTTTCCTCCCACATTTTAGAGAAAATGTGGTACTTATCTTTTTGTGCCTGGCTTATTATTTTTCTCCTCCTCCTCCTCCTCCCTCCCCCCTCCCCAACTTCTAACTCCTCCTCCTCTTTGTTGAGTTTTTTGACTTCCTTATATATATTCTGGCTATCAACCCCTTGTCAGATGTATAGTTTGCAATATTTTTTCCCATGCCGTAGGTTGTTTCTCCACAATGTTGATTGTTTCATTTGCTGTGAGGAAGCTTGTTAGTTGATTTAATCCCATTTGTCTATTTTTGCTTTTGTTTCCTATGCTTTGGTGGTTCCAGTCAGAAAATCATTGCCTGCACCAATGCCTTAAAGTATTTTCCCTATTTCTTCCTAGTAGTTTCACGATTTCAGGTCTTTGTTCCATTTGTAACTGATTTTTGTATAGGGTGGGAGATAGGTATCAAGTTTCAGTCTTATGCTTATGGATAACCAATTTTTCAAACACCATTTATGAAAGAGACTGTTCTTTCTCAAATGTGTGTTTTTGACACCTTTGTTGATAATCATTTGGCTGCAGATGTATGGGTTTATTTCTGGGATTTCTGTTCTGGTCCATTGATCTGTACTTGTACTTCTTTTTTTATGTCAATATCATACTTTTTATGTCAATATCATTGATCTGTACTTGTACTTCTCTTTTTATGTCAATATCATACTCTGTAGTATTTCTTGAAATCTGGTGGTGTTAACAACAACAACAACAAAAAAAACCATAACAGCTATTGTGATGCCTTGATCTGTATTCTAAAGATTGCATTGGCTGTTGACGGTCTTTTGTGCTTGCATATAAATTTAAAGATGGTTTTCTCTAGTTCTTTGAAGAATGTCATTAGTATTTTGATGGTATTGCATTGAATCTGTAGATCACTTTGGGTTGTATGGGTATTTTAATAATATTAATTCTTTCAATGAACATGGGAGGTCTTTCAATGTACATGGAAGGTCTTTCCATCTTTTTGTGTCTTCAATTTCTTTCATCAGTGTTTCGTAATTTTCATTGTAGGGGTCTTTCACTTCCTTAATTAAGTCTATTCCTAAGTGCTTTTTGTGGTTATTTCTTTCATGTTTTCATTCTTTGTAAGTTTGTTATCAGTGTATAGAAAAACCACAAATTTTCGTATGTTGATTTTGGATCCTGCTACTTTCCTTAATTTTTTTGGTCAATTCTATTAGTCTTCTAGTTGTTTTAAAAGGTGTGTGTGTATAATATTTAAATATGTATTTATATATGTAAATATGTAAATAACACAAACAAGGATAATTTGGTTTCCTTCGTATTTGTATGCCTTTTGTTTCTTTCTCTGGCCTAATTGTTTTATAACTATTACTATATTGAATAATAGAGGTGAGAGTGGAAACAGATTTTTGTTGGTTAGTCAAGCCAAAGGTTTAGCAATTTTGTTTATCTTTTCAAAGAACCCTCTCATTTATTGATCTTTTGGACTTTTTTTAGTCTCTATTTAGTTTATTTCTACTCTGATCTTTGTTATTTATTTTCTTATACTAATTTTGGGTTTGGTTTGTTGTTGTTTTTTTAAGTCCTTGAGATACTTCATTAGGGTGCTTATGTGAAATCTTTCAATTTTTTGAAGCAGACACTCATTGCTATAAACTTCTCTCATAGTACTGCTTTTGCTACCACCCACAAGTTTGGCTTTGTTGTGCCATTTTTGTTTTGAGAAAATTTTAAAATTGTTCTCTAACTTCCTCAATGGCCAACTGTTTGTTCAAAAGTTTATTGTTCAGTCTCCATGCACTTATATAATTTCTAAAATTTCTTTTGTTTTTGACTTCTAGTTATGTTCAGTTGTGATTAAAAAAGATACACAATATGATTGCATTTAAAAAATTTGTTAATGTTTGTTTTGTAACCTAATATATGGTATAGTCTAGAGAAGGTTCTATAAACTGTAAAATTGTGTATTCTGCAGCTGTTAGATTAAGTGCCTGCCCATTTGATTTGTGGTGTACTTTAACTGATGTTTCATTGTTGATTTTTTTGTTTGTTTTTTGGTCTTTGTGAGCAGACCATTGATGAAAGCAGAGTGTTGAACTCTCCCACTATTGTTGTATTACAGATGAACGCTCCTTTTAGGTCTATCAGTGTTTGTTTTATAAAATGGGTGCTCCAAAATTAGGTTATAATTGTTGTATCTTACTTTGTATTATACAAAATTATAATTGTTGTATCTTACTCTTATTAAATTGACTCGGCGAACATTATATTGTGATCTCCTTTGTCTCATCTTACAGCTTGTGTCTTAAAGTTTATTTTGTCAGATATAAGTATAGCTACTCTTGCCCATTTGAGGCTTCCCTTTGTTTGGAATATAGTTTTCTACACTTTCACTTTCAGTCTGTGTATCCTTGCTGGTCAGGAATATTTTTTTGTAGGCAGCATATTGTTGGACATTTTTTTTTAACAATTCAGCAAGCCTATATATTTTATTGGAGATTTTCATCCATTTATATTTAAGGTTATTTTTGGTGGATAAGGATTGATATATCATTTTGCTGATTTTCTTCTAGGTATTTTATTTATTCTTTGTTTTTTTCCTTCCTTTAGTTCATTTCTATGATTTGGTAATTTATTGCATTGATAATGTTTGATTCCTTTCTCTTTATCTTTTGCATATTCAGTCTTTTAGTAGGATTTATTCTTTCTCATATGTTCATGATGGTAGGTGTCTTTCTTTTTTGGATGTAGGACTCCCTTAAACATCTTCTATAAGGCTGGTCTGGTGGTCACAAATTCCCTCAGTTTATGCTTATCTTAGAAGGTCTTTATTTCTCCTGAATTTCTGAGGTAAAGCCTCAGTTGGATATGATTGTAGTTATTTTCTTTCAGTCCTTGGAATATGTCATTCTATTCCCTCATAACACTGGGATCCCAGGAAACCTCAGTAGCAATAGCAACTGAGGAAGGGGTAGTTGCACTCTTTCTGATTACACACAGACACTGTTTCTTTTTACATTTTACATTTTTGTGGGTCTGATATTTGGTTGGATATAAGGTCCCTGCTGCTAAAACAAGTTTGGAGACCATTGGATTTGATGGAATCTGAAGTCTCATTTTGCAATAACTTGTAATTCTAAGAGAAGAGTGTCAAAACCCACTTATCCCCTTGCACATTACCCTTCAGGCTCCTCCCTTTGTTTTCTGGAGGAATATCTTGTGTGAAATGTTTTCCTTGTTATCTCTTTTTATAAATATGATAGACTTTGTGTAATCAATTAACTTACACTTCATAAATCAGAAATGGAAAATGTGTTAAATAGATTAAAATTTTGTGGTAGAATTGTCTATCTCATAGAATTATCAATTGTGGTTAGAAGAGGGGAAAAGGAACCAAAATCACATATCAGTCATGAGCCAATCTCAAGCTTTGCAGATAACCACCTCTCCCTTACCGTCACCTATCCAGCTCTTGCCAGTTTTCATAAAGCATTTGTCTCCACTTTTAACCAGCTCACCAAGAGTTAGTTTCTTCCAACAGATATTTGAGATAAGTTAGTCAGCTCTATATTCTTATGCCTATCTTCAAAATGAGGAAACTGAGAATGGGTCTGAGTAACCTGCCCAAAATTATAGAACTGACAAAGAACAAGTAGAAGATGGAAAGAAAAGCTCACATTATTAATGCCTAGCCCAGTTATTTCCCCTTTCTATTTTATAATATAAGTGTCTCAATGGGTATTTTCCAAAGTTGGCATTTGCTATGGTACCTTTTATCTGTAAAATTGGGTAATAATATGATAAATAGTTGTGAGGATTTTTTTTTCATTTAATTAGGGTTAATTGAGATGGTGCACTTAAAAAAGGAAGTTGTATTACAAAGTGCTCCCTGTTCAAATGGTGGTTATTATTATAAGTTCAGCTATAATAGGTCCCAAATTCCAGTAGGCAGCTGTGTGTGCTTGTTGATTCCTATTCATGGGAAATGTGTTTGTTTATGTCATGGTATATTATCTATTTTCCTTTTATTCCCCACGTGGCCAAATTGTGAACTGTCATATTAATAAGACTCAGACATATTTGTGACGGTGGATAGACTTAACGGTTTCTATAAAGGGGTTTTAATAGTTATTTTTCAACAGATGGACAGCTTACATTTGGCCACGTTTCTGTAACAGTGTGATGATTGAAGTTTTCAACAGATGGCACACAAATACTTGGGAAAACACCCTTCCAATATTAATTGCTGTATAAAAGACTTTTAGAGTGCCAAAAAGAAAAAAGAAAGAAAGAAAGTCTGCATTCCCAAGTCCTTAGCCTATGCTATTATAATCATAATCTAGATGATTTGGAAGTTTCCATTTCTGGCACTTGAATTTATTTTGTAAATGAGTGTACATGTCTGCATTAGAGTGAGATGATGAGGAATACTCTGTTGACAATTAGAAATTCAACATGCATACAACATTAAATCTTCCTCTGATTGTGGATGGATGGATGTAACTTTCTTTTGCTGTGTTATTCTACTTCTATGCCATACATGGAAAATGTATCCTTCATAAAAATCAGCTGTCAGAGACTTATATGTTTTTTTTTCAAAGAGTATTGACTTAGAAGGAGATAAAAACCTCACCAACTTGGAAATTTTCAGACTGATTCATCCATATGATAAACCACCCAACCTTCTAAGTTGTCCTGCTTGTACTGAGAACCACCTTGCTCTGCTTCCTCTTCTCCTTGATTTTACTTTGCTGAATACAAAAGGCTAAAAGACTTCTGATCTTATGCTCAGGAATCCTGACTTTTCATGCTAAGTGCCAGCATATAGAAACTTTGTAGTAGTTTTTAGTGTACTCATAGATTGAGCATTTACACAGTAAAACAAATATATGCAGCATTTACTTTCTATTCCTCCTTTCTCTTCCAAATAAAACATATTTTAATACTTAATATTTTTTATTTTGCATATAAGTAATTTATATTATTCATGAATTTAAGGAGAGAATTATAAAAAAAAATTGAGTTGCTGAAATTGATCAGGATGAGAAAAGCATTACTATAGAAAATAAGAGCAGAAAAATTTGTTCACCACTTGCACATATAATTCAGTGTTGGTGTCATTTCAAGAGAAGCACAGTGGCATGGGTCTAAGTCTTTAATAAGGAATACAGTCTTGATAAATTCTGTGCTCTCCATTTCTGTTAAAGTCATGAACTGATTCTCTTTTGGCAATTTTTATCAGCTAGATCATCCTTGTGACTATGCTTTCAGATGGCGCTTAATGGGTGCTTCAGTTTGGACTACCATGGCAACCCCCACCCAGGGGACTTGATTGAAGTGTTCCGTCCTGGTTATCAGCACTGGGCGCTGTACTTGGGTGATGGTTATGTCATCAACATAGCACCTGTAGGTAAGGTTTATTTCTAGTAGCTCCTAGAGTTTTTTAGTTTTCTTATAATAAGAAGAAATCATAAACAAAATCATAAAACAGATATAATGTAGAAAGTAAATAAATCAAGCTAATCTAGATTTAGGAAGGACATTCTAAGGGAAGCACATTGTCATTGAAGAAATCACAAAAGCCAATTAATGTTAAAATGTAAAGCCTCTATACTAAAAAAAAATGACAATTAAAGAATAAATAACCATCTGGGGATGGTTATTTATTAGTCATGCTCAAACATGACTAAGTTCAATATCCTTATAACATATTTTAATACTTAATATTTTTTTATTTTGCATATAAGTAATTTATATTATTCATGAATTTGTGGATTTAAGGGGAGAATTAAAAAAAATTTGAGTTTCTAAAATTGATCAGGATGAGGAAAGCATTACTATAGAAAATAGTACAAATTATTATTTAGCTACAGAATATTTATATAACACAAGTAGATGATTCAACACCTATTCATAGATTATTTAGTATGTGCTGAATACTGTTAGATATGTAGACATCTCCCTGCATGGTAAAGCTTATATTTTGAGAGAGAGAGAGAGAGAGAGAGAGAGAGAGCGAGAGAGAGAGAGAGACTGAGAGAAACCCCCAAAACAAATTACAGTAGTAAATGTTAGAAGGGAGATAAGTGATATAGAAAAAAATCAGTCAAATAGGTGGAATAAGAAGTGCCAAAGGCAGGGAGGGAGATGGAGGTGAGGTGTTGTGATTTTAAATAAAGGGGTCAGGAAAAATTCATAAGAAAGTACTGTTTGAGGAAAAACTTGAAGGAGGTGAGAAAACAAGTCAGATTCTATCTGGGGAAATGATAATCTAGGCTGAGAGGATAGCAAACTCCCAAATCCCAACAAACAAATGGACGAAGAATTGTGAACAGTTTGTAAAAGAAGAGCAAAAACTAACACACGTTTTTAAAAATTTCAACTTTGTAGTCATCTACAAATTGTAAAATAAAACAAAGACAGATTGCATGCCTGTTTCAGTAGCAAAGGATAAAAAGTGATAGCAATCAGTGTTGATAAGGGAATAGCGAAATGAACACAAAGATATTGTTGATGGAAATGTAAACTGATAGTGTCAGTCACAGAAGCAATTTAGTACGAATTAAGTCTTAAGAGTTCATATTCTCTGACTCTAATTGTACTTCCAGGAGTCTGGGGAACTATTTAGAAATATGTACAAATACTTCTGCGTTAGGGCCTTCACTTATCCCTCATTTATAATGGTTTAAAAAAATCGACACTGGCTTAATGTTCAATAGGGGAACAGTTATACAAATTATTATTTAGCTACAGAGTATTTAGTATCTGTATTTCAGAATTATTTATTTGCATGTAACAAAACTAGAATTAGCTTAAGTAAAAAGGTAAAAAGGCAAAGCCATTGCTTCACTGAAGGGAACTGCACAAAGGATAGAGGTGATGCTGGTCTCAGAGGTGTCTAATGTAGGATGTGAACACAATTAGGACTCTTGGACTCATATCTGCATTCTTTTTCCTATGCCTTCATTCTCCCAGGCTTTGTCTCTCTAACAAACTGAGGATGAAGAGCAGCCTGAGGCTCTCATTTTATAAAGTCTATAACTTAACAGGAAAGAGCCCTGCCTGTTGTAATTCTAAATGGTCCCATACCTATGCCTGGACCATCACCTTGCCCAGAACAACAGGATACTATGGTTAGCTCAAACAGAATCATCCAATAAGAAACAGGCAGTGATGGGACAAGGAACTGGGTAGATTAAAAACAATAGCCAATATAACAGTCATTAAAAAAATAATAATAATAACCTGGACCTGTTTAACTGCATGGGAAACAGTATTGATAAAATATTTATTTGAAAAATGAAGATTAAAATGCAATAAACAATATAATACTTGGTTTTCAAAAGAATAACTTGTATAAATACATACATATGCATGTACCTATACATGTGTTAGTAAGAGACATTCATATAGGTACATCAAAGTGATACTGGTTGTTATTTCTAGGTGATGGGATGAGTAATTTCTATTTAAAACTTAATGCTTTGTTTTTCTGTATTTTCTAAACAGTTAATGAGCACAAATTTATTAGGAATAATATATGCAAATAATATGGAATACTTTTTTAAAAGATATCTTTAAAGATAAGTGTGTGTAGGCCTGAGTCTAACTATCACGGGAAGTTCTGAGAATTTTAATGAAATGTTTTTTACAACATTTTGAGTTACTTTCTTTTTGTTCCAAAGTATTGTAAGTGGAAATAGCAAATAAAATGACATTTACAATTCACAGCTGCTAATTTCCAAAGTCTGGTGATTAACACTAAGTAGCCTCACACATCTACATTATCTCTACAGTTTTCACATTGGAAAATAATGTGAGCTGTTTTCTTATTTTCCACTATGAAATTCCATATTAATGTTTTCACTTTAAGGTCCATATTAACATGGTTCAAGTAGTGAGATTTGATCCTGTAGAGTAAAATTTAATTTCTATTTCACTTATTAACTACTGTGATATTTTCTGAGTCAGTTTATCTCTCTGAGCTTCAATTTCCTGATTTTTTGCATCAGGCTAGTAAAAAATTTAGTAATTTTAACTATGATAAATATGCTTCTAATGTGTAAAACTTTCAGTGTATAAAGTTAACTTAGAGTACTACTCTATTGGGAAGGAGGATAGACAGAGGATAATGGAAAAGAAAGTTTGCTTTTAATTATTAATAAGGGAGAAATTTTCTAAATTCAGATTATATGGAGACCTTTCCTCTCATGAGTCACCTGGACATGGCCAGGCATAGCAGTCATAGGCAGTTTGAGAGAGACCAGAGCCTGCCATTAGACCTTGGCCCTGAGGAAATGCCTGTCCAGCCACAAGAACTCATAGTGATAGGTCTGAACACAAAGATTCCTGGCAGCCTCTGTGTGTGTGCTTACTAAGAGAGGCAGCTGTGGTGGAGAGGCAGGGCACAGATCCTGTAACATAGGATAGGACTCCACAGGGGCCAGGTCTGGGGTATTGTATCTACTGAGGTTAGTTTTAGTTTCAGAACTTAGTTTCTTGGCCAAAGGAATTGGAAAGAGAAAAGCAGGGCCTGATCCTGATCCAAGTTGTCTCTCACAGGACTGGGTTACCATACAAGTTTCAAAACAGGAAATAGGGCCCCATATTGAAGTTTAGTTTAAGGAACAAACATGAAGAGGTGATCCCGTAAGGAAGGCAGCTTAGGTGCTAAAGACAAGCCTCCTAATCACAGTGCACTACTGCTAAGCCTCAATTAGTTGGCTTAAGGGTTTAGATGCTGAGAAAGAAACTGCGTGATAGAAAAGGTGAGCAATAATCTTATTTGTACTGTGTTAGAAACACATAACCAAGATGTTTAATAACACCAATCTATAGAGAACTTATTTCCCAAAAATAGGTAGGATGCTCTCACCCAATTTGTTCTATGGGAAAAAAATCAAGATCTCAGAAAAATGTTCATGCATTCCTAGTCATATGGTATGAGCATTATTGATAACACACAGAGAGAGCTATGTCTAAGATTAAATGGGCTATTATTTAATGGTATGTAAGGAGCACAGCTAGGTCTAAGCATTCTAGCATTTCCAAAGTCTTTAAATGGCAGTGGAGTTCAGTAGACTGGGTCACTAAACCTTGCTAACCAGAATTGTCCTTATAGATGGCATTCCTTCAGCATTTACAAGTGCCAAGTCTGTGTTCAGCACAAAGGCCCTGGTGAAGATGCAGCTCTTGAAGGATGTGGTAGGAAATGACAAATACCGAATAAACAATAAATATGATGAAATGCACCCCCCTCTCCCTGTGGATGAAGTCATGCAGCGGTCAGAGTTTGTTATTGGACAAGAGGTGGCATATGACTTACTGGTCAACAACTGTGAGCATTTTGTGACTTTGCTTCGCTATGGAGAAGGGGTTTCAGAGCAGGTGAGTTTTCTTTAGGGGACACAAGAAGTTTCTTACCTTGAGAACATAGTAACTGTTTGCTATGATAAAAGTCTCAGGCAACAGAGAGAAGGGAAAAATATGAAAATACTGAAGGACAGAGAAGGAAATTGAGTTGTCCAGGGTCATGTAAGCAAGTCAATGATCAAGCTGAGACTAGAAGGGGGACATCATGAATTTTGAGCTGGAAGGGACTTAAAGTAGAATGGAGACCATATCTTTCTGTTAGTCTTCCTGCCTTCTGTTCTCCACACTTTCCTTATTACCCCACCATGCAGCTGTCTCAAATCAATAAACTCATGTGCTAAAGAGACTATACTGAAAACAATGCTGGCTTTGCTGGCTGCATCTGCCACAAACAGAGATGGTCATGCTGAGATTCTTCTCCAGTGGCCTGTAGAGGCCAACTGATAACATGCCTTAATGGGTTTATAAATGTTTTCTGTTTCCTTGCATTTTTTTTGTTAGTTTTCAATGCAATTTTGTGCTTTTTAAATAGATCCTTTGAATCATCAAGCCTTTCAAGTCCTTTAACAGATTAACTTTAAGTACTTTGTAGTTTTGGCAGTCATCATCACTATTGTATAGTATAGCCGACCCCCAGCTAATCACATGGTTACTTTAGTTGCCCTTTCCCTACTTGCTCTGCTGCCAGTTCAGTTTCATAGTTGATGTTTTAGCCCAAAGATTTATTAAGGTGATAAAAGAGAATAAATACATAAAACTGTTACAAGAGGAAGTCCTCTTCACCCAAAATACATATAAAAGTGTTCATTTTTTAAATTAAAATAACAAAAATAGCTTCATACCTATTAAACTCTAGGGAGTTGTCACCTGTAAAAACTTTAAAAAGAAGACTAAAAGTTCAAATAATAACTCTGTACAATTTCAATAATATTCTAAGAACTCAAATTTATTAAAGGCTTCTAGTATTTTAAAATAGTGGATCAATTATATAAACTTCAAAGAAATGAGGTTTAATTCTTCTCACAAAAGCTTGGAAGAGTTGGAGATAGAACATAATGAAAGGATGCATTTGTTTTCATTAGAAAATAATATAATTGGAAATTCATTCTCATTAGGAAGTACATTAACATAATTAATGTTCTATTCACATGGAATGATCAATTGCTTTTGAGCCAGAACACAGAGGACACACACAAATTCCTCTTCACCTTTTGCATTGAAAATGAGTATAGATAGGAAACAATTTCCATTCCTCATTTTTGTTAATGATAAAGTTGTTCACTGCACTTAGCAAGTGATTTTTATTTATTTATTTTTTGAATCTTTAGAAATGGGGAGGTATTAGTCACAGGGCACACATTTCAGTTATATGTAAATTAGTTCAGAGATATATTATACAACAAAGTGCAAATGATTAACAGTACTGTGTTTGTTGTATACTCAAAATTTTGCTAAGATGATACATCTTATGTTAAGGGCTTTTGCCATGAAAGGAGAAAAACCACCCAAATACAACAAAGAACAAAACAATACAATAAAGTCCAGCAAAGGTAATGGGAGAAACTTGGAGGTAATGGATAAGCTTATGGCATTGATTGTGATGGTGATTTCCTGGGTGTATACTTCTTTCCAAACGTATCTACTTGTATACATTTTGTTTGTGGATATTTGTGTCTGTAGACTTTTTGCATATTGATCATACTTCAATAAGGTAAAAAGTGACATTAAATAAAAAGTAGTTAAAATCATGTTATTGCTTTGATTCAAACTTGTAACCCATCATCTTTTCATCTTTCATACCCAGACTTAATACCCATGAAAAACAAACTGCTCCTCAGTCAGTGGTAGGTCTTGGCTCCTGTATGTTCTAATGACAGTGGTGCAGTGACAGCCTTAGGAGCCTCCCTGACTGCTAGTGTTCTGCTGATGTGAGCAGGAACCCAATCTTTACCACTTAGCTAGGCGACCTAGGGTGCATTATCTATTTTATACTCTCTACAATGAGGTTGTTTTAAAAGATCTGGGACATATTTGAGGTCTCTTAGCATACTGTGTTATGCATTATTTATCCTGATGAACAGCATGCCAACAATGGATATTTTAATTACATTTATTTTAGAATTTTTTTATATCTTTGTTAGATCCAATAAAATCCCCATCAGAAACTGCAAAACTTGGATTACTCATTAATAATTAACATCATTACTATTAAATAATAGCTAGTGCTAATATTATTACTAAATAATGGCTAGTATTAGATTAACTTTTTTGGATCCCCTTAAGGCTTAGGGGCCTTGAATTTAGAAACATTTTCTTAGAAAATGGCTATGTAATTCTACAATTTAAAAAGTTAAAAATGCACAAAAATTATAAGAAGGGTGGAAGGATGTCGTCCCATCCTCCTTTTTCTTTGTTTTTCTGTATTTAAAAAAAAAAATCAAATGACAGTTTTTTAGAGCAGTTTTTAGGATCACAGTGAAATCAAGCTGAGTTCTCTCCCCTTTCTTTAAACGTACATTCTCCTTCACCATCAACATCTCATATCTTATTTCTTAAAACTGCCAAACTGTCTTCCAAGGTGGTCATACCATTTTGCATTCCCCTTCAGGATAAATGGGAGCTCCCGTTGTTCCACATCCTCACCAGCATTTGATGTTGTCAGTGTTTTGGATTTAAGCTATTTTGATAGGCATATTGTGGTATTTTATTATTGTTTTAATTTGTAGCTAACTGATATGTATGATATCTTTTCATATGCTTTTTTTTGGAAATTCCAGATCATCTTTGGTGATATGTCTCTTGATGTGCCTTTTCCCTATTTTCTAATAGGGTTGTTCATTTTCCAATTGAATTTTAAGAGTTCTTTGTGTATTTTGGATAACAATCCTTTGTCAAACTTTATCATGCAAATGTTTTCTCTTATTCTATGGCTTTTTTCTGTGTTTTCCAAAAATTTAAAAAACAATATTTTTAATGTTATAGTCCCAACAAATTAATAATTCATCACATCTCAGATATTCATTTCTGTATAGGATAGTGGGTCACGATGGGTTAAAATGTGTTTGTCTTTGTATAAGGTAGCCACATACTTGAATAAACCTGATGACAACAACACATGATGACACCCTGCCTGTGCTTCAGTGTACCACTGGAGCCTTCAGGTCTCAGAATGGAGACATTTGATATACCCTATAGTCATCTGTGACCCTGCTATGCTGATATCTGTACACAGCCACTCCAGATTAGCTAATGTTTCAGTGGGCATGCATGGATCCCCAGAATGAGGCCTTTATTAATGGCCCACAGACAGAGGCCTCCAGAGATAAAGTCTGCAGAGTCACATTTGGTGATCTTACAACCCTAAGTGAGCCATGAAATAAAGAGCTCCTGTGCATGCTGCTTCACCAAGAATATCCTCAGATGTCAAAATCCTGTGCAGGCCAGATCCCATTGGTTGTAAATCCAAGGGACTGTCCCAGTCAAATAGGATTTTGTTATTTATGATGGGACTTGGAATGAATGAGCATTTGGGGCCTGGGAAAGTGCATGTACTGCTGGAAGTGATTTCATTGTAATGAAATCTGTCCTGTAATCTCAATGAATTTTGGCTCGGGATCAGGTTACCCATCCCCTCCACAAATCTCTAATAGTTATGAGATTTCTTTAACATCTGTGTTTCTAGAAGCTAAAAGATACCTAGTCAGTTAGGCTTGCACCTTTCTGGATCTACCCTATGCACAAGGTCCTGTCATTTTTCCAGAGCTATACCAGTGACATTCATTGCATTTTCATTTGTCAATTGCTGTTCCATTCCCCTGTACCAGACCTTCCTGGGATCCCAGCTTCTGTCTGGAATTATACTAGGTTTGGGCTTGATTTACAATCCTTTCTCCTTTCTGATTATCATTGTGGCCCTGTCTTGGGAATTCTTCCTGTATCCTACATCTTCCTGCTTTCCCCTCACCCCCATGTGCTTGGGGTGCTCTGACTTCTTGTTCTTTCACAGGGAATAATTTAGGTAGTAATTATTTAAACATTATAAATAAAATAAATAATCAAATAAACAAAGCTAAAATTATAAACTAAAATAGGGTTTCTCAGGACTCAGGGCAAATTGATGGTAGTACTACTCTCCCTAGCAACTACAGGTTGGAGCAGAGGCAGTGAGTCACAATTAGAGGCCTGAGGGAATACATGCTTCAAATACTTGGAGCAGATATTCCTACTCTGTGCCTCTTTCCTGGCCCTGGACCTTCCTGTTATTTCAAACTGGGAAGCAGCAGTTAGGAAGGCAGCACTACCTTGCAATAGTCTATGGGTGGCAGGCCCAGGCTGGAATCCTGTTGGTTAGACAGAAGGCATAGGCAAACGTGACCTAGGTCAAGTTTCCAACTATTGGACTGTTTCCCAAGTCATTTGAGAAAAATGTTTTGCCTGATCCTTACACCCCAGAGTACAAATGCTGCTTTCAGAACACCTGATGACTCTGAAGTGTGTGAATGTGACCTTTGTTTGGGTCATGAAATTGCACTTAAACCCATGTGGATGGAAGGCAATATCCGTTGAGTGTCATTAAAACCATGAATATTCATTAGATCCCTCATCATGATGATGATTAATACCATTAAAGCTATAAATTTCTGAACTCCTTTATGGACAATTGAGCTTGACAGTGGTTTATTTTTATTTTGTCTATATGAGAAATTAATTTGACATGATAGTTAACATCAGTATTGACTTTTCTTGAAATCTGTTTACCAGACTACAAATTTTATCTACCAAATTAGAGCTTATAGGTATTTAGCTTAGATCATATCCTTATTTTATTGATAGACATTCTTTAGTCAGAGAAACATGCCCACCCATACACGTTGTACCTACCCTGATACAGACTTACTCAAACTAGTGCATGTTCAGGAGGTAGGGGCTGCTAGAGGAAGAGCAATGGGGTTCCAGAAGACTCAGCTTATCTCTCAGCATCTTGGTAGTATGACCTTGGGCAAATCACTTACAAGCTCTTAAGTTTTACAAAACAGGAATAGTTCTATCTCTCTTACTAGTATACTGTGATGATTAGTAGTACTGGGTTCATAACTAGTCTATATACTGTCAAGTGCTTCAAAAATATAAAGAATACATATCAATGTGTATTTATACCATTTACATAATTATAAAAATTATACTTTTATTTCATTTTCATCTAGAATTTTAATTTGGCATTGAACTTTATTCATTGTACATTAAAATGGGTATTCAGTTTAGGAAACAAAACAAAGCTTCATTTAAGACACAGAAATGGGTATAGAATAAGATGTATTTTTTATTTCTTGTTTTCTTTTAGGCCAACCGAGCAGTAAGTACCATTGGATGGGTGACAGCTGCTGTTGGTGCCTTCTCATTCCTGGGCTTGTTTTCAAAAAGACAAAGAGCAAAATACTATTAACAATTTATTGAAGAGATATTGGAACTGAAGGAATTTGTGAGGAGGAAAATAAAAAAAAAAAAAACCTGGAATCTTTCAACGCATCATTATTGTTCCAAATTCTGATGATGGATAGCAGGCTCTTTAACAAATTGCTTTCTGATATTATCTTATCATTGAGCCAAGGAAATTTCTTTCCCTACTAGCATAGATTTGCTGTGGCAGCTGGAACAAAAAGCTGTAGCCTTTGAGTGAGCCAGCAGAGGATCTTAAGAAAATCACATCACATTTTATCTTCTACTGTAAATATTGTTTTCCATTTCCTTAAGGGTGGCTATTTTGCCAGAGGGATAGAGAACCATTTCCAGGGGAAAGCAAAGTTAGAACCCCAGATTGTTAGGTTGACATGTTAATTCATATTCCTTTTCTTGTGAGAAAAGAAACTGGGAAATTCTGGTTTGGCAGCTTGAGGACCTGTGAGTGACAAGCCTTTTGAGGGTGTGCCTCCAACTCCCACACTCTGTAGGTGTAGGCGGGTGGGAAGAGCATGGGAGGAGCTCTTCACTTCCCAACTTCAGATCCAGTGATTTCTCTGGAATTCACTTGCTTGTCAAGAGCACATGACAATCCATGAGTGACATGGGCTGCTATTTCTACAGTTACATTTTGAATGTTTCAGGGGTTTGACATTTGAACCTTGGCAAGAGGTCATCAAACGTTGGTTTAAAGTGCCAAAATTAGGAAACAATATCTTGTACTGCTTTTTAAGGTTTGTACTATAAGCCAAGGAGTGTCATGATTTTATTCTTACATTTTATTGGTTAGCTGTTGAATTTAAATTTATTACCATTTGAGTAGACTTCTTCATTACTGCAGGTAAGGAAAGGTGAGGCATAGGTCTTTCTAAGATGATAGTGGACACTATAACTTATCCCATAAACCACATTGCCTCTTTACCTCCTTATTCCATCCTTAAAAGCATGGCATTAGATAAAGTAGATAAAAGACAGTGAAAGTCTTGGACCTATTACACTGATTTAGATGTTACCTCATGTCCAGAAATACTGTACAAGCTAATCACAGGCTTAAGAGTAATGTCAACAGCAGGGGTTGTGCACTGCAGTCCTGGCCACAGACATCTAATCTTTCTTCCCTCCTTTTTCCTTATGTAACCCTTGGTTTCTCATGGCACTGGCTCTGTCTCCAGACAACCCCCAAACTTTCTTCCCCCACTGATCATCTGAGAAGGTATGTGTGTCTTCCACCAGGTACAAGATCCTTTTTTTTGATGGTGGTTTTGGGGATTGAACCAGGGCCTCATTCATGTGAGGCAAGCACTTTACCATTGATCTATACCCAAAGCCCTTCTTATTTTGACAGTGTCTCACTACATTGTTCACACTTGCCTTGAATTTGTGATCCTCCTGCCTCAGATTCCCCAGTAGCTGGGATTATAGGTGTGTGCCACCATGCTAAGCCCTTTAATTTTTATTCTAAATTCAGGTTTCGGCTTCTTTATGTCCTACTCCCAAGAAATAGTCAATGAATAGACGCTTTCTAGAGCTATTGAATTAAGGTGAGACTGGCAGCAGCTTGTTACCTTTCCCCATTTAAGGCAATTGAGCGAGAAAATTCAAATTACTAAAATTCATGATGAAAAAGGAAATATCATAATGGACACTACTGAAATAAGAAGATATTTAGAAACTATTTTGAAATTTTATACTCCGGTAAAATGGAAAATCTCAAAGACATTAACAAATTTCTAGAGACATATACTCTACCCAAACTGAATCAGGAGGGCACACACAATTTAAACAGATCAATTTCAAACAATGAAATAGAAGATGCCATCAAAAGCCTACCAACAAAGAAAAGACTAGGACCAGAAGGATTCTCAGCCAAGGTCTATGAGGCCCTCAAAGAAGAATTAACACCAATACCCCTCAAATTATTTCATGATATAGAAAAGAAGGGAACCCTTCCAAACTCATTCTGTGAGGCTAGTATCACCCTAATACCAAAACCAGACAAAGACACATCAAGGAAACAAAACTTGAGACTAAGATCCCTGATAAACAGACATAAAAATTCTCAATAAAATTCTGGCAAATTAAATACAAAAACATTAAAAAGATAGTGCACCATAATCAAATGGGGCTTATTCCAGGGTTGAAAGGTTGATTTGACATCAATCAACCTAACTCATCACATCAATAGATTTAAAGACATGAACCATTTGATCACCTCAATAGATGCAGAAAAAGCATTTGACGAATACATGTTCAAAACACAGGGCCAATCTTAACCCAAGGAAGGGAACCTGGCTTTTGCAGAATTACAACATTGGTGAGTGAGAGAGGATGGAGTTAATTTCCTGAGGGCCAAAAGTCAAATCTTTCTAGAGCACCCTGGAGGTCTCTGCTCCAAAAGAGAGTCCTAGCTGTGCAGAATAAAGCCACAAATGCACTTTTGAATTCATGGATTGATAATGTCAGAGGTGTCAGTGTTCCTTCCCCTTAGAAGTTAGTTCACAGAATTAATCATGGTTTCCCCATAAAAAGGTCCCTTCTTGGGGACAAGCCACCTGAGGCTACCTACCTTGTTTTCCTGCAGGTCATCAAGGCCATCATTTGCTGTGTCATCATGCTTATCATGCTTTGATCAAACTTTTTTCCCCCCCAACATAATTAAACCTTCCTTTGAATGTATTTTTGGCAGTCAGTTATGGAGTTTAATTTTTCATGTTCCAAAAAAGAAATGTGAAATAAGGATCACCACCCACCAGATCCCTAATAGATTGTTAGTAAAACTGAAAAAAAGCAAACAAAAAAACCCAGACTGTACTTGTATTGAAAATCAGGATTTTTTAAAAAATATGTTTATGCTCTCTAAATGTTATACTGATATCAATTGAATCTTTTCATTCTAAAAGTCAAAATACTAAATATAGATGTCAACTCAAGGAACCTGGGCTACCATATATTTAGGTTAACATTACATTTCCTAATCATAAGCTAAAATCTCTTTTCAAAAAATATTTGTATGTTGTTGTTAGGCAATAAATTAGACACATTTTGAAAATGATCTCTCTCCAAAGAGCTGTTAATAGGAGGAAAAAACAACAACAAAATGTTGAGTTTATTTTTATGTAAGAAGGTTTATTTGTGCTACTGGTTGAGTAACATAGTTTATAATGCTATTTACAGGAGGAAATTGCTAAAATATTGAAAAAAATTGTCAGTCCTAAAGATTACAGATAGTAAACTCAGGGCTATTTCATATTGAATCCATATATCATGATATTAGGCACACATTTGACAATTATGGGATGGAACTGGTTTTAGTTAACCAGCAATTAGCTTTGCCTATGGTCTGTTGAAAATCTGTTCAGTTGGCACAAGTAGATTTATTATTCTAAGGAAAACCTAGTAGGTTATTTCAAATATTCACCAGAAATAAATTTCTTCCTCTGAAAAATATACATTTTATATATGCACATTTATCTATGTATGTGTATATAAGTAGATAGGGCGAAGGATATATTTGTAAAGAATGTACCCTTCTTGTCTTTCATGTGCATTTGGAATGATTTATATAATTAAAAGATGAAGTAGAGCATAAGGTCATCTGGAAGCCAGAGGATTTTCATGGGTCCCTTTCTTAGGGTTGTTTATAAGACAAGTGATGTTGAATTTGGCCTGTCTTTTTTTTTTCACCTAGAACTTACTTGAAGTTTTGGTGTGTCAGTAATAAATCAAAGCACCAGGCTTTCTGAGGTGAAAAGCACATTTTAACAGCCTTCCATTATTTTGGGGATCTACCATGGACCTTCTAGCTCAATACTTTGGGAATTGTCAAACTTTGGTGGAGTTTGCTTAGGTATTAGCTATGCCTGTGCTAAGATTATATGCAATTAACACAAATCTCTGCCGTTCTCCACTTCCACATGACTCTGGCTTACTACATAGTTAGGGTTGAATTTTCTGAAGTAAATGTTAATACTTATTTCTATTAAACCATACAGTGAAGCAAAAAGGAGGAATTTAGTTATCTTGTAAAAAGATATGTACATATATATATATATACAAATGAATGTAAGATTTAAAGAAACTTGTGTGATAATTAACATATTGGTAAAACTTTCAAAGACCAAATGTTTCCTTAGCTTTTCTTTATTCTATTGATGTTCGTACTTCTAATTTTATTATCCTAAGAGCTGTGCATTTTAAACAATACAATATGAATAAAGCATATTAAAATGATAACCCAAGAAATGCATTTTTTTCTCCCAATAGGAAAGGATATAGTCAAAATAGATAAATTCAAGGTCCTCTGTTGCAAGGCTAAGTGCACTGAGAAATGTGCTTCAGATGATCAGATGGACAGCAAAAAGAAAAGGGTACATTCTTTTCACCTTCCACATGTTTTAGTTTGGAGGAGGGTGATGCTGCTCAATGTGTATAACAATTCCAATTAGAGTCTGGTCCAAAAATGCTGTTCTTTGATTTGGTCCCCTGATTTGAGTTTTTCTTTTGGGACCAGTTCATGGTTTTCATAGCCTTTGTTGATGTAGAATCCATTTTTACCATCACTTGCATAGTCCGTCCTATTTATGGGGGGCCAGGTAGAGTCTTCTGCCAGCTTTTTTTGCCAGGTCCTATATTGACTTTTAGAGTAGAATCCAAATACTTTCTTGATCAACAGCCAGAACGCTCGATTCTGAAGGATGGCATCCTGGAAAATTAGATGTGAAAAACAGTCAAATCACTGTGCAGTCTCCGTGCAGCCAGGCAGCTCCCCACACTTCCCCTGGGTTGTGCTCCTGGCGGCTGCTGCTGCTGCTGCTTCTCCTCCCTGAGGTCCCCTTATTCTTCCTTTAAGAAGTAAATGGTTGCTTCTGTTCACAGTTACCTGCCGAAAGCATACGGCCTTTCACCTATCCAGATTTTCTGGTTAAATCCTGGCTAGTGACTCACTCAGGATTCCTTTTCTGACAGACTGAAATGATAGCAATATATAGAAATGGGAAACCCCTATTAATCCTGCTACTTACTACCAGCCACATACAAGGTGCCAAATAAATGCATGTTGAAGGAATGGTTGAGCTCTAGCTATCAAAGGGTTTTTGTTTTCCATTTTTTTTTGAGTTCCCTTTTCTCTTTCTTCTCATTCTTATGCAATTTTCATACATTTATAAAAATAAAATTGGTCAAATTTTGCATTCCACTGTCTATACTAGACTTAATGTCATGAATAATCTTTTAAAATAGTAGCAATAGTTTTTTAAAAGTTTTTATATAATTGCAGTAAGAATACAGCTACAGTCTTAATAAACATCTTTAATGACTGTATGGCATTTCTTCAAATTGATGTATAACTATTTAAATACTTGACAATGCTTCAGTCCTGTATTTTGCCACTGTAGATACACTGAGATGAGTATCTTTATACATGTAGGGGTTTTTGTCTGCCTTTTTGTTTGTTCAGGTTTTTTTTTAATTATTTTGTTGGTTCTTCTTAGTTATACATGACACTGGAAACCATTCTGACAAAATTATACAGGCAAAGGACATATCTTATTCTAATTAGGATCTCATTCTTGTGGGTAAAATATAGTATCAAAATTGGAATTAAAAAATATGAAAAATTTAATTCTTATTTTATGCAAGATAGTATATATTTATAGGTATGTAGCATATACATATATATATAAATAATATCTATATATTATAGGTATATAGATACATATTTTAAAGTTTTATTGATTCCTTTTCCCAAAGGACTTACTTACCTGACTCTTATTTATTTATTTTTCTAACTCTCCCTTTGAAAAGCAGCACCTGAGCTTCATACTGTGTGGGTAAAGTTATGTAGTGACACCAACCAAGCAGAAGGCCAGTGTGAGAGGGGAAGATTTTCAAGGGTAGACATTGATAAGAACAAAGGCAGCTTCCCATCTCTCTTCATCAGGGCTGTCCTCCTGAAGACAGCTGTTCCCTCTAAAAGGTCCTATTGAATTTTAGCAATGCAAGGTCACCTCATCTCAGCTCTCCTAGATTATTGATAACATTCGAAAAGTATAATACCTTGCTTTTATGTGAGGCAAAATTAGAATTAATTTGATGTTTTACTTTCTGTGCAGAAAATACTAGTAGGCTTCAAAGAATTTTAAATCACTGTCTAGGGAATTTTCCCCACAGAGAATATGTGTTAAAAATAAATTAATAACTACAGTTTGGGGGACCAAAGTAGTTGGGAATAAAGGAGCATCTGTTGAGAATAAGACCCTTTATTTGTTTATCTCTCTGGAAAAATAATAAGAAACACAGAAATTACCTCTACAAAGAAGGCAACACAGAACTGGGTAAGGGCTGCTACCAAAATCGAAACTCTCCATGATGTTATGGTTGGGATAAACTGTAGTAAAAGAAATACCATCATTATGCAATGCATTGCTTATGTTACACTTTAAAAATATACATATCAATTATCTTAGTTTATGTATTTATCATAATTCTCTGAGCTTGGGGGTGGGGTGTGTGTGCACATTTCCTTCTCTACAGATGAGAAAACTGGAAACAGAGTCTTACCCAAGCACTGACTCAAAGCCAATAAGTAAAAAGCAGAGCCAGAGTCCAAATGAGAATGGAAGGACTCCTGTTGGCCTCTGCCTCCTCCACGGCTGACAGTATCTATTGATGAAGTGTGCCGTGGGTGGCAGATGTGAGAAAGAGGACACTTTGGAGCCTCTGTGTCTTCATTTTTATCCTCTGAGAAATGGGAAAGTGGGGATAAGATTGACTCCTTCAGCTACTAATTACTTTCCAATTTTCTTCTAATTCAAAGCAAAATCTACTTGGAATTCATTTCTTTTTCAGTAAAATTGATACATCATAAAATCTAAAGGGGGACAGAGATACAGGCTTATTTTGACAGACTAAGTACATGTGTTCTTGGCTCCAAATTTAATGGCTTTATGAAAATCTCGCCCAACCCCCTTTAAAGATAAAAATGTGTCCATTGATCAACTACACTTGTTTAATAGATGCAAGAGCCACCATTTCCCATGGTTTTACCCACAGTGAAAAGGTAGTTAGGTGGCCCCATTTCTGACCCCACAGACTAGAATTTGGATGGATGATTTTGTGTGGGACTGAGCTCTCCTGATGTCAATAACCACAGCCCCCATAGCATCTAAATGCTTACCTTAAATTCTCATCCCTATCCTGATATGAGTTATTTCAAGATAACATGTGGTCATTTTTTTCCTCAAGTGGAGACAGCCTTTAAAAGGGTTGTGAAATGCTACACATTGGGTAGAAGTTGTTTGGAGAAGGTGGCTCTGATCCTAGTAGACAGAGAATCCAGCCCAGTAGGATCTCAGTGCTGCCACTACCCTGATCCATAAGGACTCTTCTCCAACCTTTGACCTAGGAGGCACTTGATTTGGAATTAATTACACCATGGCCTTCCCTCCTAGCTTCTAAACTATTTGAGGGCAGTGACCACATCTTACTCATCTTTGTAAACCTTGCACCAGGCATACTCTGGAGCTCCACCTTGTTTGGTAAATGAATGAATGACATGATGATATGAGCTTTCTTTTTCTAGCTGCTTCTTCCTCAACAGCTTCTCTACTCTTGCATAAAGCCTTCCTGCCATCATCTAACTAGTCTGCCTATTAAATGCCCTCCACAAAACCTTCAATGACTCCCTGTTGGTCTTGGCATAAGTCCAAACTTCACTGCCTGCCTTGTCCATCCAAGCCTTCCTTTAATCTTTATTCTTTTCCCTCATAATCCATAGCACACTGCCGCACTTTTGGCAAATCCTCTAGCTCCTTTGTAAAGCAAGCCTTGCTTTGATTCTTGCTACCCTACATTCTTTGCAGTTCCAAGACAGAAGAAGGCCCTTTCAGCTCCCTCTGCTTGTGTCTAGGATGTTTCCTTGGTCAGAAACATCCCTGTCTCCAACCCAGCAAAATCCAGCTTGATTCTGGATCCCAGCAAGCTGCATGCTCTCTGTGAAGCCTTCAAGGACAGCTACAACCCAAAGTGAGTGCTGCTTCCTATGTTCTTCCCAGTGCTACCTTGAGACTCTCTTCAAGCATGGATGGCACCAGGTGGCCCTGTCATCATCTCACTTAGGTGTGGCTCATCTTCACAACAAAACTATAGCCTGAAAGTCAGGAGCCAATCCTTCTCTTTCTTCAATATCTCTCACTGCAACAGTCCAAGAATGGGTTTAATAACATCTTTATGAGTTTAATTTTAACCCAATATATCCTGGATCAAATGATGTTGACTGATTAAAAAAAAAACTCCATATAGTCAATGTCTAATAGGACAAACATGTTTGCTTATTCTTTTATCCTTACAATGATATTATAAAAGATTTCTATTATGTGTTTAAAAACATTAAAGCTGGAGCATTATTGTATTAATGCATTAATTTTATTGTATTGGTATAATATACAGAATGAAGTATTCAAACATAATATTTTCTGAATGAAAAGGATAAATGTGCCCAAATGATAGTACAAGTAATATGAAAATATGTGTGAGATATAGAAATGCTATTTGTCTAAATATAAATAGTCTCACATATTTAGTGGTCAGAGAGAATATGGTAATAACTGAGCTGCAAATAACAATGTAAATATGTTCCATGGTGAATATGAATCATGTCAGATATGCAAATAAATGATACTTACCTCCATTCCCTGGTATATATCTTGAAAATCAGAAAACAGAATGAAGATCGTGAGGCCCGAGGCAGATATCAGCAAAAATGAAAATATATCTGAAGAAACACCAAACATTATTTTTAGATGCTAAAAGAATGTTTCATATAATTTGGTACACATTGCAGAATCAATTATCTCTGTTGGGCAAACACTGGATACATCTTCAGATGTTTTGATATATGCTCATATGTTTTAAAATATGTTCAATGCTTATATGATAAAGGTGATATCTTAAAATCTTTCCTGAATAAGGCTGAAAGTAGAAGGATGTTCATTAAAGAAGAATGTATATAGGAACCTCTGTAAGGGAGTTGCCTCAACTGTGGATTCCTGGAGGCTGGGACATCCTGCTTTGACCATCTGAATGGTCACCAGAGAGGCCCTGGTGCATTAGCTCCACCTGTCTAGTGAGCCCTGCACATAAGGAATGAATAGGCCTCTTGGCAGCATTTCCTTCTTCACTGCTAGGAGAATAAAGTCCCAGAATCTGTGATCAGCGTTCCAGGCCTTTACCAATTTGGTCCCATCAGCCTCTCTAAACTGACCTCTGACTGTTCTTTTTAGGTGCAACAGAAAAGTTCAACCACAATAGCCAGCACTTCCACAGAGTCCCAGTTCTCTGACTTCTCTGCCTTTGCTCACAAAATGCTCTGTATAGGCAAAATTCTTCCTGTCTTGGCATAGTCCTTTTTTTTCCCACTTAATGAGCTCAGTTTAACTGGCACTTTCCTTTCAAAGACCCCCTAATCCTCCCTTATGAAGTTTATTTCATATGGTACATATCATACTCAGCCTAATCTTAATTTATCTAATCTACTAGGCTGTGATCACTTGGAGCAATGTTGGATGTGGGCACCAGGGACTCTGACTTGAAAAAAATAAGTGAATGACACATACATCTGCTGAATTTCCAACCTGCCCAAATTGCTTTACTTTGGGGAGATAAACTTCCCCAGATAAACTGTTCCCAAATTATTGCTCATATCCCTCAAAGCCCAACATCTCCTGTCGGTCAGAGCTGATAGCACAGCACTTCATAAATAGTATCTTAGAAATGTCTTTGATAGGAATATCACCTTTAGGCTAAAACACTAGAATTAAATTGGTGTTGTCATGATATAAATGACCACAAGGGTTTCCCTTGAACTCTCCCAGTGTCATGTGTTCTGGTGCTGATGGCCTACTGCACAACTCAGTAATGTACCAACTGAAAATCTGAGGCAAGTGCTCCTCTCCAGGGGGCCCTACTTTTGAAGCCACACCCTTGCACACCTACACTTGCCCTCGTTCTCATCCATGTCTCATTTCTTGCATGTGATGCGGTGCAGGACCTCTCAGAAGAATGTCCAGGATTGTTCTAGAGGAGTGTGAAGCAGGGAGGAGAAAAATGGGAATTGCATCTCCCCAAATAAAACAATCTACTCATGGTTGTGGTGATAAAAAGATCCCAGGAGACAGCTGTATTGCTCTTACATACACTTCATTGTTTGGGAGGGGCGGGGACTCAGAAGCTGGCAAGAGAAGGATGCCTCACAAAGGCCTGGTCCTCCTATTTGACAATAGGAAGGAAATTGCATTATGTGCACAATATATTTTATAAAAAAAGTTTTAAAAGAGGTAATCCATAAGAATCCTTAAAAATTATTTCAAAGGAAGAATGTAGAACTGGATGATTTTACTAATTATTTCTTGCAAATTGGCAAGGAAAGGATCATTCCTACTAAAAAAAAAATTATAGAAGAAAGAAAAACTTAAAGAAGTTTCAAATCTATTACCCAAGCCTAACACAGAAATCTTCAGAATCCCATATGAAATGTAGATTTTAAAAAACTATAAAAATTCAACTTAGTAAATGTATAATCCACCACAAATTAGTAGCATTTGCTCAAGAAGACAATTTGATAATAAGCTTCTTAATATAACACATTCTAGCAGTAGGTCAAAAGAGAAGAAAGAATAATCATCAAGACAGATCATGGGAAGGCATTCTATGAAATGTATCTCCTGTTTTTTGATTTAAAAACACTATTGATTAACTGTAAAAGAAGGGTATTTTCTTTATATGAGGTGGGCTACCTTGCACCAGTATTCAGTCATATTTATGAATGAAAACTACTAGAACTATTTCTATCAAGGGGTGGAGCTATCTACTATCCTGCTATTGTTTAAGATTGTCCTAGAAGTTCTGGACTATATACTAAGATAGAAAATAGGGGCATACATTCTAGTTATGGGAAATGAAGAAGGAATATTATAGCTAGCTATTATTAGTACCTGTCTTTCTAGAACACTTGAGACTCAAAAGTTTTTAGAAAGTTGAGAAAATGAGGCTACACTAATCTTGCTACTTATTAAAAAATCTTATAAAATTATAATTGTTAAAATATAGTGAAAGATCAAAAATAGACTGGTTGGCATATCAATGGAACACAAAAGACAGTCTGGAGTAAATTACACACACACACACACACACACATATATATATATATAAACATATGTAATATAAATTATAAGAAAATCATAAATACATGTGAATAGAGGTATGATGAAGTTGGCATTGTGCTTGGCTAAGGAACAAATGAATGAAAGGATATTAAATACTCAATAGTCAAAAAAAGTCTGCTACAAAAACTGATTGACTAGTTGGATAAATTAATTTGATCCCTACTATAAAAATGTACCAAAATTATATTAGATTTTTTAAAAAACACTAAAAGAAATTTTTAAAACTACACAGTGTTAATCTATCCTACTTTACAATTAGAAAAACTTTCTGTGTATAAAGGAAATGGGGAAAAACCCATAAAAGAATAAATAGCTTACACAGGTAATAAGGAAAGTAACAGTAATCCAATAGAAGAAATAAATAGATGTAAAAATGTACCTAGACATTTCACAGAAGAGATGGCTAGGGATGTGAAAATGTATTTAATCCTCACTGAAAATCAAAAATTGCAAATTAAAACCAAATGAGAGATTATGTTTAAAAAGTCTTATTTGACTTGACAAGAATTTTCTTTTTATTTCCCATGTTGGATATGCTGCCTGAAGCAAACTCTTTCCAAAGGAATGATTGGACTGAAATTGGTACAAACTTTATGAAAAGCAATGTAAGTTTTATACCATATTTATAATACCGAACTATTGGAACAGTTGCATGGTCATCAACAGGGTGACCATGAGTCCTCTTTTGCTCAGCCATTTGGTGTTTGAGCCTGGCATGATTATCAATCATGGTTTTCTTTTAACTCTCAACAGTGTCTCTGTCTTTTGGAACAGAAAATATTCTCTGGCTTTTCTGCGTAAAGGTCTTGATTGTAGCTTTGAAAAGTTTTTTTTTTGGGGGGGCGGGGGTGCTCATTTTTTATTCACTTAGATGAACATACTAGGGAAGTAAATAAGAATTTTTGAGTCCCTAATAAAAGCGCTGGACCCTTTCACATGAAATTCCTCATGCAGTTTTCCCTGAGGACTCACTTTCTACAGATGAGGAAATAGGGGCCCAGAATGAATGGTTACGATAATTTCTTCAATATTCTGAAGTTACCAAGGGGTCAACTTGTAGTTGAATTGGTTCAAACCCTTTTCCAAAAACAGTGTGGCATATATGCTTGTGCTTAAAATGATTCTTGGTGGCTTCCAATAGAAAAGGACTCATGTGACCGTTGAACAGTGTCTGTGTTCATCTGCAGATGTGCAAGTTTTTGCCTGGGGTTCTACCACCCATGACCATCACATCCAATATTCATTCTGAAATAATGCAATTATTTTCTTCTTCATTAGTAACTTAAAATTCTGGGAAGGGTGGGGAGGAGATAAGTATTCAGAACCAAAAAAATAATTAAATTTTATATACTTACAGTTTGTGTAGATAGGTTTTCGAAATGGTTTTCCCTTAGAAAAGATGAATGCTACTGTGATGCAGTTGAAGGTGACAATGGGCCACAGTGTGGTAGTCTCAAAACTTAAAATTGAACCAGGAATCAGAGTTGCATTTCTAGTCCAGTTTCTTTCCAAACTCACATTGGATGAGAAATTACTTGGGTTGGCCAGGAAGCACTCACTACAAAGGAATTGCCAGCAGTTATGGAACTTTCAATTCTATTTTTAATCCATTAGATGAAAAAAAAAAGTTAATCACTACCCTGGAACCTCAGGTTTCAACCTGTTCCAGTTGGTAACTACCAAGACATTCTGTTAACTTGTTGCAATGACAAAGAAGAAATAAAATTCAGAGGATGTCAGGATCGGTCTGTGGCATTACATTAAGGGCAAGTCTTGAAAGGGCTTGGATGACAATTTTCTAAGAAATTTCTTTCAATTCAAAGAGTAAATATACCATGTGAATTGGATGTGTGTGTGTGTGTGTGTGTGTGTGTGTTCTTCTTCATGCACTACGGGGAGCCTCCTATGTCCTGAGTTTGAATCTCCCTACTCTAATCCTCTCTCCTTATATAGAAAAAAATCTTCCTGAACATGATGTGCTTCCTATGATGAGGTACGTAATTTATACGCCATTTTGCCAATAAATTAAGGAAATTTTTCAGACTGATCTAGGAGACCTTCACATCCCTTTTCGACCCCCAATCTCGTTGTCATCTTTTGTCACTTCTCTCACTCTCCTTACACTCCTGACAGATGGGATTATCCCCTGTTCCTAAAATGCCACAGTTTGCAAACTGATCAAATTGGCATGTTCCCTTTAACTGAAGTAGCACTTACCTTTCAAATATCATTATATTTTACATTACTTTTACTGGGAAGTGAACCTAACACATTCTATTCTTCCCTCTATTGCTCAGTTAGCTCATTATTTTGCAATGATTTTGTTGATATATTATTATTTTCCACCTGAGGGGTACGATTTCCTTGAATATGGAATTTTTCTTTTGATTTTGATTTGTTTTGTTTTACTTAAATTTATAAGAAATCCTTAGGCACAGTACAGTGGGGTCATATAATATTTACTCAGAAAAATGCTTGCATAAGATTCAGGATTTCCCAGTCCTGACTTTTTTTTTTCTTCCTCTTCTTTTTTGTTCTCCCCCCTAATAATAAAACCTATACATTATTTTCTATTAGCTTTCTTCTTTAGCTTGAAAGTTTATAATTACTATTATAACTTTATTGATAAGATTAATTCTCCAATTGTAAATTCAAATGCAAGACTTAAAATCACTATCCTGGGATCCCTAGGGTCCAGAAATGTGCTTTGATATAGTAGATGTCCAGTTAATGTTTGCAAAATAAACCCTTGGAACAAAGGATCAGAACTCACATTCTTGCACACACACACACAAATAGACAAATAGCAAATAGACAAATAGATTAGATGGGCTGAATTACAGTTGACCAGTATTGTACAGCCAGTTAGGGATAGAAGCAGAACTATTCCTATTTCTTCTCCATTCCCTATTCACCACACCGTGGTTTCTATCAGAATTTGACTGATAGAGTGAGTGTATGCACTCCAATTTGGGGGAGAGGGGAATCTGGTTTTGAGTCTAAACAAGGTTCTGTACTTCAAGTAATACTCAAATTGCTGAATTTGAGATCTAAACAACAACCTTAGACATCATTTGATAGTTTTCCATATGAGTTTCACTGATTTCTGGGTTTCTGATGCCTTCACTCTCACAGTGGTGGGAGGACGGGGTGTAATATGTGTGCATGCACTTTTCCAGAAAGCTCTTTTCCTGTTTTCTTTTAGGGTCAGGGAGGCTTCCTCAGAAAAATTAAAGTTTTCGCATCTATGATAAAGTTTACTTCATCTTACCTTTGATTTATATAGTTAAACAAAGAAAGCCTAGGAGGTGAAGAGACTTTTCTTCAGTCTAATGTTCCAATTCCATCAGAGCAACAATACCATCAACTAACATTTAATTGTAATGTTCATTGGAAAAATCCAAATTAATTTAAGCTAATCTCTCTGTATGGCTGTTTCAGGGACCAGCAAACTATAGCCCACAGGCCAATCCAATGTACCACCTGTTTTTATAAACAAAGCTTTATTGGAACATGGCCACGCCCACTTATTTACATATTGTCTATGGCTGCTTTTGTACTGTAACAGTGGAATTGACTAATTGCAACAGAGACCATCCAGATCACAAAACCTAAAATATCTACTGTCTGGCTCATCTACAGGAAATGTTTCCCAGCCCTTGGTCCATGGGAAATTCAAACTACTAAGGAATGGATAATTCACACAGTCAACCCGCTGAGAGATGTACACATCAATCAGCAGTGTGACAGATCTTCCACACCCTCTCCACATGGCTCATCCAGAACTCCACTATTAACTGTTTTCTGTTTTATCACTTGTGTTTTGAAGCATGGAGACTCAATTTTTGTTTATTAAAATTTTAGGATATATGTTTGAACCAAGCTATATCTAATTACATCATCAGAATGGAAAGCTAAGAAAATGAACTCACGCGTCTCGGTAGACCTCACAATACCAGGGTTGTTGCTTCACATAGAGAAATGCACAGACCTGCACAATGCAGGTGAAACAGGAATGCAAGAAGACCGAGAGCAGCAAAGGCGGAGAGAGGAGCTGTCCGGCTGGTCGAAATGGAGCCAGCTTTGGGTAGGCATGTGTTGAACTCACTGAAACACAAGCATATTTTTTTCCTTTACAATTTCATCATTAAGAATAAAAAACTGAGATACACATTATCTTGTGTCTTGTACTAGAATTCAGATTCAGCAGACATGAGTTTAAGGTTTACAACTACATAAGCATAATTCTATACAAGCTTTCTCTCTTCCTTGCTTTACCTTTAGAAATGAAAAGTAATGCATTAAAAAGCCTGGAATTATTACATTTACCATACCACATGGCACACACATTTTTTTCCACAAGCAAACAAACCAGAGATGGTATGTAAAAGAGGAAGATGGCCTTCCACATGGGGTATGCAACACAAATATTATCTCCCAGTGATGACAGGAAAGTGGAGAATTAGAATAAATAGGCATTTGGCTAGACTAATCTGTATATGCTTGGTAATTAAAGAAAGCACTCCATCTATTAGTCATTCAACCAGCATTCTCTGAGCAATTCAACGTGCCAGGAACTGTGCCAGGAGTGTGTTCTGTTTCTTCCTGGATACACACATAAACGGGAGTTTTTTTTAATGCACATTCCATTCAGTTAGGGGGAAAAAAAAACCCAAAGAAAAATCTTGCTTCTAGATAAGAGTGGTGTATTGTGTTTTTGACCCTAGGGCTTTTTTTTTAAATTTAGGGATTGGAAATGGGCAATTAAAAAGAACAATTATTTTCTAAAAAGATGACTACATCCTTCTTAGAAGTCATATACTCTACCAAGCTGATGAAAATGAAATGCATTTTCAAGACAGAGCAGATAAGAAGTGTGGAGACATTAGGAATTAGAAACTTCACATTTAAAAATTATTAGTCACCAAGAAAATGCAAATAAAAAATACATGACATACTGTCCCACACCACTTTGACTACTCTGATCTAAAACATCCAATAACAACAAAAACCGCAAATTCTGATAAGGGTATGGAGAAAAGGAACTTAAGTTATTAGAGCTGTAACTTAGCATAGCTACTATGGAGAATACGGAGGTTCTTCAAAAAACTAAAACTAGAACTACCATGATACTTCTAGGCATATATACAAAGGAAATAAAAGCATCAGAGAGAACTGATAGCCCATGTTTATGGGGGTGCTATTCATGATAGCTAAAGTATGGAATCAGGCTAGGTGCCTATCAACAAAGAAACGGACACACATACACACACACACACACACACACACACACACACACGAGCATTATTCAGCCATAAAGAAGAATGAAATCCTGTCATTCTTCTTTAGATAGATGAAACCGGAAGACATTTTATTAAATGAAATAAGCCAAATGTAGAAATACAAGCACTGCCCGGTCTCTTTCATATGTGAAAACTGGGGAAAAAAAATCAACCTGAATAGTGATAACTGGAGACCAGAAGGCTGGGGGTGGGGGATGTGAGGGTGGGAGAGGGGTGGTTAGATCTGATCTATGTGCACTGTATTATGGAACAATCGCACTGAATCCCATTAATCTGTACAATTAATATGTACTAATAAAAATTTTAAAATAATCATGTTTCAGTTTTTGTTTTCCTTCCCTTTTCACAGCTTATCTCGGGTTTGTCTGATAAACAGAAGGTAGAAGGTGGATGCTTATGTTTGCATTTGTGCACGTAGAGACAGGGTGGTAGGGACTGATGTTCAGTTTGGGATAACAAAACTCTGAAGCAGGTCTTCATTGGTTCATTGTGTGTCCTGGGTTAGCCATTAAACTCTCTGATTCTTCACTTTTTTCAAAATGAGCTTGTTGAAATGTTTAAATGGTATCCAAAACGCCTTTCAACACATTTATTCCAAAGCTCTGACTGTCCACACTCTCGCCATTAGCAGTTCCATCAGTGATTCCCAAGCAGGGTGGCAGGCTAGGGCCTGTGGAGTGTGCAGGGGGGAGAGAGACATCTCCTCAGACAATTTGAAGACCAAGGGAAGATGTGAATAAATTGCATAGTAAAGAATTTGATGGGCCTTTATCCTCACTTTCTGGGATGTTTCCTTCACATCCCTGGGTGCTGGGAGAATCTCTCTTTTTCATGGTGATAGTTTATGCTAATAAGATGACTGATGGTACCTTTGAGGAGAATATTATGTTAACAACATTACTCAGGAATGGGGTTGGCCATACCGAAAGACCAACTGTGGGATTAGATCTAAGTTTTTGAGCCACATATCAGCATGATCTGTAAGAGGTGGCTGGAAATTGAGCTCAGCCTTTGGTCAATGATTCAATCAGCCATGTTTAATAATGAAACCTTCAATAAAAACTCTAGACTCTGACATTCATTTGAGCTTCCCTGGTTAGCAGTACCCTGCACATTGTCATACATCTGTGTGTCAGGATGGTGAGGCATCCTGACCCCATGGGGAAAGGACAATGGAAGTCACATTCAGGACTCCTTCCAGACTTTGTCCCCTGTGTCTCTCTCTTTGGCTAGTTCTGAGCTGTATCTTCTTGCTATAAATAAAAGTGCCATTATAAGCATAGTGCTTCTCTGAATTCTGTGAGTTGCCATAGCAAATTATTGTATCTGAGAAGGTAGTGGGAACCCTTAAATTTGCAGCCAAGTGGTCAGATGAACCCCAGACTTGAGGCTGAACTCGGCAGACTTGTGGAGGCTGAGCACCTCACCTGCAATATCTGGCCTAACTCTAGGTGGTTGCTGTCAGAAGTCATTGCTTGGATACACAGTGTGGGCTGAGGTCAGGGCTGGAAGAGACCATATTCCCAGGTCACAGAGGCAGAGGCTGAACTGTTTGGCATTCTCTCTGCCCTCCAGTATCCAAGATGGAATGTGATTGCACAATTCATAAAGAGGGTATTGGAGAGAAGGATAGTGACATCTCTGTGCATTTGGCCTCTACCTCTTTGGTCAATTCTCTTACACATGCTCATTATAGTTTCTGGTCTTTTAATCTTATTTTTTTTAATAAAAGAATTGTGGTAGATTGAATTATTGGCTTCATAGAGGTGGAGTTAATTTGGGGCTTCACTGTGTGACATTGTGTAGCCAAAGAGATGTTAACATTGGTTTTAAGCATTCTTGCCTGGTTCACCTTGCTCTGCTTTTGCTCTCTGTGACTCTCAGGGAGAATATACACTGTCTGTCCTTTCAGGTTGTCCCTAAATGGAGAATGTAAAGAACTGAATCAAACCCCAAAGCATGACCAAAATCAACCCATCTACATTCTAAAGCATCATGGTTGTGCTGAGCAACCTAGATCCTCTGAATGATAGTCAGGCTATAAACCCATTAGCGGGAGAATAACTGCTTGGGGGGCATAAGCCCCTGAATGTTGGGGGTAGGTTTTATTTGGCATTCTTGTAGCAATAACTGGTTGATATCTGTTACTATATGATGTGAGGTTTCCTCCCAAAGCTTTTGCCCCCTGCCCCTCCAAAGCTTCATGCTGCAAGAGGATTTGTAAGAGAAATGATTGGGTTATGAGCCTTAACCCAATCAGTGAATTGATCCCCTGATGGGATTTACTAAGTGGTAGCTAAAGGTAGGTAGGGTGTGGCTGGAGGAGGTGGGTAAGAGGGGGTGTGCCTCTTAGGAATATATTTTGTGTCTAGGGAGTGGAGTCTCTCTGCTTTCTGATCATCATGTGAGCAGCTTCTCTCCACTACACTCTTCTGCCATGCTGTTCTGCCTCACCTCAAGCCCCAAGGAATGGAGCCATCTGTCTATGGATTGAGACCTCTGAAACCATGAGCCCCTGAATAAACTTTTCCTCCTCTACAATTGTTCTGGTCAGGTCTTTCAGTTGCAGCAGGAAAAAAAAGCTGACTAAAACAACATACAGAGCATTGAATAAACTTACATAGAGTATTTTGATTTTTTCCATATTAGAGAATTCTAATATTTCTAACAGGGAATCTGTTTTCCTGAGTATAAATAACAACAAAAAGAATAAATACCATCTTGGGACACTTACTAGGTTCTAGAGATTGTGCCAAGTGTTTTATAAATATCATCTTTATTCCCTGAACAAGCAACGTAAAACAGATAAATTCTACAGATGATGAAAATGAGGTTTAAAGAAGTAGAACCCCTTGCTTAAAGAAGGTTAGTGAGTGACAGGGTGAAGATGTGAACTCAGGTCTGTCTGACTGTAAAGCCTCATGTTCTCTGCTCTGCAGCACATTGCAGTATGGTGGGTTTCATAAATTAAAATGAACACAATGAGAAGCCCTGAAATACCAACTTGGATAGTAGTGCTGTTCATCCCTAGGCAGAGAAACTGTTCTGAATTGTCCAGATTTCCTTAAAATGATGATGACATATGCTATCGGACAGTGTGCAGAGGAATGCAAGCTTACAAAATCATACATTTTACTCAGAATTAATCACCCCATCCATGAGTTCCCACAGCACATTACTCACAATGCTGCTATGATGGAGGGTGTCTTGCATTAAATTCAGCTGTTTACCTATGTACTCAGCAGCCTGTGAGCTCCCTGAGGGAAGAAACCCTGCTTCATTAGTTTCATCCCTTACTAACTCTGGCATAGAGCCTGCTACAAGGGATGATTCTATCACTTCATGTTCTAGTATCAAAAGGTAATCTTTAATTGTTCGGCATCCTTTGGATGTCATGTAGTTGATCTGCTTTACAAATATTTCAAAACATGCAAGTCAGATTTCCATAGACTCATAAACCCATCTGAACTGCATGCAAAATTCTGAGTGCATCTCATGACATTGCTCATAAGTACCATTTGCTAACCAACTGTGCCCCTGGAGCTCCAACCTCATGACATGTCAAAGGTGAAAAGATTTTTATCTCCCACCAGCTTCTCCAAGAGGATCACATCCCAGAAAAGGTGCTCAGCAAAGCACTGGTGGGGTTTTTGGAAGAAATATATGTCATGGAGAAATTCCCTCCCTCATCCACTTCTCTAGATACTGCTTCCTCTCGTCTGCAGGAGTATTTGGCCTACATGGAGCTCAGTTATATGGCCCCACCTTCACTCACAGAAAATGATTGGCCTCATGGTGGACATTTTACCCAAGTGGGTCAATAAATTTCCTCTCTAAAAGGTTTGCAGCTGTGGCGATGAGAGACTGAGCTCATCACCTTGGGAAAAGAAGCAGAAAGGCTATGGAGATTCAGCCCTATTGCCACCCTTCGGGGAACATTTGCAAGGTCAATGAGTAGAAGCCAGTAAGAAACAGTCAGATTGGAAAAATTAAGAGAGAGAAGATGGCTGTTTGGAAATAAAGGAAGTGAGCCCATTTTTGAATTTTCAGTGTTCTAACCTCCCTCAGGCCCATGAGCTTCAGAGTTTTTGTTCTCAGGTGGCTTTTGGGTAGTTATGTTCCTCATCACCTCCCTTCTCTATCTTCTTGATAGCGTGTGAATGAATCTTGTGGAAGACGAAAGAGATGTGGCTAATTGAAATTTTCTTTAAGGGAGTTGCTACACAGATTAGGGTCCTAATTGACTTCCCCTCCTGACTTCATCTCATTTTTCTCCTTGATTTTCTCTTTATGTATCATTTCTTGTCTTATTGGCTGTTTTTGTATTTTGCCTTAAAATCCTACAGGAACTCAACAAGAGTATACATAAGTAAGTAAATAAACTAATTAAACACACCATGGCATTGTCTTTTCTCAGTATCAAGCCTTAAACTGCTTCCTTGGAAATGTAAGGAGCCTTGACAAGAGTCATTTCACACTGATCGCATCCAATTGTCAGTGACTCATAAGGGCTGCAGATGAATGTCTACCCTTCTCAGCCGTCAAGATTTTCTGTTTTCTGCCCACGCACCTTTTCAAATTTTATCTCCTGCTGCTTCTTTTCACGTACCCTACAATATGGTCAAATTGAAAAACACTTACCCCATATTTATCAGCTCTTGCTCATGCTGTTTCCTTCTATTTGAAATGCTCTCCTTTTAGCAAAATGTTTTTGAAATCTATCCATCCCTACTGTGTTGTTGTGAATACTACGTGTTCCATGAGGTCATCCCTAGTATCTCTCTTCTTTCTCTGTTGCTTTCTCCTCCAGAAACCCAGATTATCAAAAACAATCACTCCTTTCTCTGAACTCCCAAAGATCTGCTGTTTTCTGCCACTCACTACTTTTGACTTGCATCTCATTTTTTCATGCATGTGAATCCCCCACTAAACTCTAAACTTGAGAGATCATCCTTTTTAAGTCCCCCTTTTTGTGCCTTTACATGGAGTAAGACAAGAATGCTTGTGTATCAGAGTGTTGAGTAGTGCTTTTCTTGTGTGGAGAGTTTGGGTGAGCCGTCTGTATGAGGACAATAACTAGGAAGTGCCAATTTAGTGTGAAGAGATAAGATCCTAATGTTTCCATAGCACCTTGTAAGGGAGACCCATATTGGACCTTCAACTATAAGCATCCCCTTCCCTGGCTCTGTGTATTGATTTAGCAAGGGAAAACCATAGAGATTATCAAGAGATTCATCAAGGGGAGTTGTTAGGAGTAGTATGAACTGTCATTTTCTTCCTTCCTTCCTTCCTTCCTTCCTTCCTTCCTTCCTTCCTTCCTTCCTTCCTCTCTTTCTTTCTTTCTTCTCTTTTTTTTGGCAGTGATGGGGTGGGGGAGAGTACCAGGGATTGAACTCTGGGCACTTGACCATTGAGCCACATCCCAGCCCTATTTTGTATTTTATTTAGAGACAGGGTCTCACTGAGTTGCTTAGTGCCTGACTTTTTGCTGAGATTGGCTTTGAACTTGCGATCCTCCTGCCTCTGCCTCCCAAGCCACTGGGATTATAGTCATGTGCCGCTACACCCGGCTTTGAACTGTCTTTTTCTCCTCAGGGTCTCCACAATCTAAGGAGAAGTCATAAAACCCACTCTAGGAGAGACTGGACGTGATTTTGAGAGGAGGTTTGACTGTGCATACTCCTTTTCTATGCAACATATAAAGGAGGGAGGGAAACAGTGAGACCAAGCTATACACTTATTGTCTGGTAGGTCAAGTAGACGTCATGGAATTTAGCCTGGCAAGAGCAACCCCAAAGGGATCTGCCCAATGGTGCAGCCTGCTAAAGTCTTTGTGGCATGTACCACTAGAACATAGCAGCAGAAAACATTTCTGAAGGGTCAGAAAAAACATGTATTTTCATTTACTTCCATGATAGGGAGTGGTCTAGTCCAGACCCATCCACAGGGAATCTCCGAAGAACTCACAAGTGAGCACCACACAGATTGCCTGAGTTTAGATGCCTGCTATGTCAGAGGCATTTGACAGGACAGAACTACAATGCCTCCACTTAAGTAAGAAGAGCCCTGCTCTTGAAGCTCTTATTCCCTGAATAAGGGAGGAGAGTGGGTGAAACAAGGCAAATAAAGAGAGGACATGGCCTTCTCTCCCACTGCTAGCTCCAAGCCACAAGTCAGACTTGATCTAGGGGGAGAAAAGCTTTGAATTGGATAAAAATGTGAAATATTAATTTATGATACCTGGATTTTTCATATCTAAAGATGAAAGTCATTTTAATACTTGAAATTGACCAGGAAATGACCCGACTGTGGGAGGATGGAGCTTGCAGGGAGGGGAAAACAGAAAGTTTGAAGGCAGAGAGTTAAGAGCAAGTAAATGAAAATACATGTTTTGTCTCCACGCTCATCTTCACCAGTCTTCTAGAGGGCAGCCCATCTCCCAGACCAGCTATAGGTGTGTTGAATAATAACTGGATACGGTTTGTCATTCTGATAGAGCATCATGCTTCCCATTTATCACCCTTCCAAGTCAGTCTTCTCTTAGAGGTAATCATGGTCCTTCCTGGAGTCATCCCAACATCCCCACTGAGCCCACACTGGAATGAGAGACTGAGAGCTTCACAGGGTGACCAACTGGCATGATGATCACTAGGCTATTGTCACTGGAAAGAGTAAGAAGCCTCACCTCCATAATCAACCATGGAATTAGTGGGTAGGTCTCAAAGTAACTTTCTCAAGGTCATATAGCAATTCTGAGGCAAGACTAGAACTACTGCCCACATTTTAAGGTTTCTAGTGACATAAGTCTACCTAAATTCATTCTGATTCTTTTTAAGCGCTCAACAAGCCAGCCAGTCTTGTCAAAAGAAAAAATAGGAGAGGCGCAGTGTGAGATCATTGAGCTCTGTGTGAGTGTTTAGTGCACAGTGCACCATGATGTAGACTTTATAGGTATCCTCAGGGATACCTGAGGACATTTCACATGAGGAAATAATTTATTTCTTAAGTACGTTGCCAATGGTCACAGAGGTCCTTGGAGGACTCTCTTACTTGGGTCCAGATAGAGAGTGGTAGAAGATGTCCATGGCTTCGACCCCCCCCCCCCCCACTGCCTGCCATATTAGTTCTTGGAAACTCTTAGCATTCCTTTTTTAGTTTCATTCATAAATAAATCATGCAAATTGCTTAAAATACCCAACATCATAGAAGCAATAGCATTGATTCAAAATTATTCAGTCATCTGAATATTAATAGCATATAGAAAAATATTTAATGGGCTATGAATAGACACTTCAACCCTAATCATCAAAACTGATATCACTTGTGTCTCTGAAACTGGTGAATTTTGTCATTTGGTTGATATAATAAATGACTTCAATATCAGTTTCATGTTTTAAGATGCTACGTGAAATTCTCAAAGTTATTAATATCCTGCATGATCTGATGTTTTATTGGTTATTTTTCATAGTACTCCATTGTTGAACCAAAAAAACGGGATGACAGTGCCATTCTTTTTCTTTGCCCTCTGTTGCGGCAGTTACCTTTCTCACTTATTAAGAGTTAGTATCAGGCCCTGAGTTCCTCGATCGGAAACACTTTATCAGCGTCTCCTCAAAGGAAAGAAATGAATAATAGCTGTTGTAAGCCACACCTTGCTTTTGAGAGAATTCCACTAGAATAAAATGCTAGCATTTGTTTTCACATGTCATGGACCTAAAAAACCCTAGTTTCACGTCAATATGAAGAGAAAGCTGAATAATGGAAAGTGATCCTTGGGTTTTTAAAAATTCCCTTTCTAGATTTCTTATTCATTTCTCTCTCTTTCTAAGACAAAAACCTACAAAGAGCTCAGAACTTTTAAAGTTAAAACCTATTTGCTATCAGAATAGTTTACTATCAAGTCGGTACTTTAAGACTCAAGTCAGCCCAACATCACTTTGAAAAGATTATAGGCAACAAGATCTGAGTAATTAGGATGCCACTTTCTCAGAAGTTGTTACTTGTGTAGGTAGTTCTAGAATTTCAGAAATAAATATGAGTAATGCAGTTGACTTTGCTAAAGAGCTTACTTGTTAAACAGACCATCAAAGTAATGGCTACATCCTGCAGGAGATACTGGTAATTCCCAAAGATCTGTAGCTGCTGAAAAAGAAGGAAAAGTAAATGTAAGTGTGGCTTCTGTCATTACAGAGTTTCTGTATCATTCCCAACACTCTTTCTAAAGTTCTTAAGAGGCAATTGTTATTTTTCTCCTCTCCTCAGGAATCAAACGATTTACCTAAAACCATTAGCATCTCATGGGATGAAATGAGACAGACCATTACTTTCCCGACCTTTAACTGAATTCCACATTAGCAATGGGAGTCCATCATATGGAATCACACTCCTATTGGTCACATTAATTCTGGCATCTGCCCTCTCAGCAATGGGATTCTCAGTAGAAGATTTTAAAGCCTGAAACCCCCTCCTTGAGAACACTAAACTTCAACATCAAAGCCTACTCACGTTACAGACCAGATTTATGCACATGAAAAATATGACTGGCCTTTTAGAGAGTGAACCAAAGGCTCAGAGATTTCTGGGTCAAGGTCCTTGGAGGACTCTCTTACTTGGGTCCAGATAAGCAGAGTGAACGACTTCTGTATGAACTGTGGTTGCTACTCCATCCGTAGAGATAAGTCCTGATTTCACCTTTTGGAAAAGGGGTAGTTGGTTCCTCAATGTCTCACCCTATCCCCAAACTCTAGTTCTTTCTGTCTTCTTTAGCTTTTTTCTTATAGTCTTTCTCTTCTTTCCCTTTCCCACCCCTGAGTGGTAAAAAAAAAAGATGAAGCAGGGCAAAGTTTTTAACAGAAGCTTTAGTTTTCACTGTAAAAGCAGTTCTATGGAGGGCTTTGAAAATCAGCCAGTACAACAGCTCAGAAGCAGCTATTTGCCAAGGATAAGACCTAATCTGTGTTGTTTTTGTTTGTTTGTTATTTGGTACCAGGGATTGAACTCAGGGGCACTCGACCACTAAGCCACATCCCCAACCCTTTTTGTACTTTATTTAGAGACAGGGTCTCCCTGAGTTGCTTAGTGCCTTGCTTTTGCTGAGGCTGGCTTTGAACTCATGATTCTCCTGCCTCAGCCTCCAAAACTGCTGGGATTATAGGCGCGCGCCACCATGCCTGGTCCTAATCTGTGTTTTGAACCCAGGATTCAAAATGTGAACCCAGGATTCCTGGCTTCCGGTCTGTTTGTTCTCTCAGCCTGGCTGCCTTTTGGCCCTCCACATGTGACACAGCCCACAAGATGCCACATAGCTTGTGGTCTTCTGATTCACCTCTTAAATCTCCCAGGAAAGCAATAAAATAGCTCTTTTCCCAAAGCGTACTTTGAGACTGTTATAATTCTTTAACTGTCGAGCAAACTATAATTGGATTAATGAAGATTACTTTCAACCTATACACGGTTCTTCCTTAGAATTAATTGATCTTAATGGTTATTACCATTTAATTTTAAGAGGTGGTTTTTTTTTGTTTGTTTTTTTTACCTTTTAAAGAGTTGCTAAGGTCTAACTGTGCAAGTTCTGGGTAGATGTAGGACTAAAACTCCAGTGTGGGAAATTTTTAGCATTCTAGCCTTTCAAAATCTGATTCAACAACTTCTCTCCTTTTTATCTCGTCTCAATCTTGCCAAAAATATTCCACAGTTGGAGACTGATCCATTTCCTGCAGAGTTATATTTAGGCTGCTCTGAAGCTCTCTTCATGCTCCAAAGAAAGAAACAGGGGCTTGGAGAGGTCAAAAGTCTCAGGTTATATGGAGAAAAACAACACCCTAGAAAACTGATCCACAGCTACTTATTTCTAGCCCACATTTCATGCATCATTATACCAGGTCTCCAAGTTTGTAGGCACATACTTCAAAAGATGTCATTTATTTATAAAACATTGAATTCTGTGTAGGAGCTACACCTCAGAGAATAAAACCAGAAATGCAGATATATAAATGCATTAGAACTGGGAAGAAATGATTTTTGTTCATACCCAATAGAGCAGCAATGTTCCAATAAACTGGATTATGCCATACATGACCAAGTATTTAAATACTCCAAAGGATGAAACCAGAGCAGCTCGGCCTTCTCTGTTTAGAATAAATAAATAAAATTAGCGGATTAGGTATGAGGCATAACTACTCACCTTTCTTATATTTCAAAAAGAGTCTGATTTTTAACAGCCTGTTGATATATATTCACTTAATCACTGATTCATCCTCTCATATATTTAGTCATTCATTCATTCATTCTTTCCTCTAGTCATTACACTAGTGGATTCTTGACTCACATTTATTTAGGCCTTATGAGGTACAAGCATTTACTGAGAGTCATGGAGGATGTAAAATGAACCAGGCACAGTTCTTTCCTTGGAGTAAGAAGGCTATCGTATACATTAAAAACACAACGCAAGATTGATCAAATTACATTATGGGCATGTGTGAATATGACATAATGAATCCATTATCATGTCTAATTATAATGCACCCATAAAGAAAACACACAGTGCCACATTAGGATTAGGTATAGCATTTCACATACTCCCTTAATTGTGACTCTTTATATCTTAATAGCACATGCTTCCTGGGATTGGTTGTGTGAGTGTTCTAGAAGCCCTTAGACACATAAGGCTAAAGGATGGGTACTCTTACATTGTAGGAAGTGTGGATGTGGTTCTGATTTTTGAGATGGAATCAGTTTTGCTGGCTTCAGTGTTCCAGGGAGAACCTAGGGTAATAATCTGAACTGGCCTGGAGATCAAGAGACTGACACTACAGCTAAAATTGCAATTTAGAAAGTAGATACTTCCTCTTGTAAAAAAAAAAAAAAAGTTTCCACTTGAGCTGTTTTTCCTTTAGCAAAGTTTTGCTGGATGGTGGATTATGATGGGACAGAAGACAACAGGAGGCAATAGCACATGACAGTCCTGCACCCTCCTCTTGTCAGGACAGAAACAAATCTGTAGGAGAGAGACCCACATCTACTTTGTTTCTAGGCCCAGTGACTGGACACCTGCTCTGCTTAAAGACTTTGTTAACAAAACAAGGACATGAAAAGGAAAATATAGGCCAAACTACTAGTCACTGTGCCTCTAGCAAGAGAGTTGGGGTGGGAGATGGGCCAGGTTGCTTTGGGCAGATGTTTTCCAACAGCCTGTGAGTTGCCACCATTTGTTTTCAACACAGATGATGGAGCAGAAGACAAGCTGAGAAGAGGCAAGCATGTGAAGCCTGGATGTTTTCCCCAAGACTGACGTAAATACTGTGATTTCATCTTTTTTCTACAGTTGAATATAATTCCAGAAAAATGAAGGCACCCAGATTCAAAAGAAGATACAAAAACCATTCTGAGTAAAGGCTGAAGGGTAGCCTCCAAAATTACAACTATTCTTAATGATTATGAATTCTGTGTAGTTCACACATTCCAGAAACATCCATTGAATGTTCTGATGTACTAAGCTTAGGACTAGGCATGATACTTGATATAGAAATGAATAAGACACAGTCCTTGCCCTTGACTTGAACTGTAACCATCAGTGAATTATGCTTCAAAGGATCACAATATGAAAGCCTGTGGGTCTGTACCTATGCATCTAAAATCGTACCTCATTGCCCTCCTGGAGTGCTTTTTCAGGCATAAGCAAGCATCTAGGATAGCAAGGGTAAAATGAGCCCAACAGAGCTGAGCCAGCCTAATTTTTATGATCTATGAAATGCAAAAGAAAAGAGTTTCTACCCTGAAGTCTTACTAAGCCATCTGCCACTATAGAAATTTTATATCATGACTCCTATTTCAACACAGTGTGTTGCATTCATAAATGCATTAGGCCACATGTGGGAGGAAGAACATCAGAAATTCTCCATTTGGGATGGATCTGGTAGGCACTTTGAACAGCTATCCAGGAGGTCAAACTCCCTGCACAAGTCCACCAGCTCTGGCTCTCCAGTTACCTCCGTAATTCCCATCTGAGAAGTATTTCTGCCTGTTGCTATACTTCCCAATTACAACCCTGTTTCCAAAAGTGGCTCTCCCATTTCTCCCAACTGGGATTCTCTCTCACCTCCATTATGTTTACATAAGACTTACTCATCCTTCAAGTCACTGAAACCTTCCCTTGTGGCTTAGAGTTAAAAGCCCTCTAAGATTATGGAACTCAATGACTGACTATAAGGACTAATCAACCCCAGGAACAAGAAATGAGGAGCTGGGAAGAGGAGCTGCTTTGGTGGAAGAGGTGATGGTGTTAGTGGGTGAGGAAGGATACAGATACAGACGTCCAGGGTTTAGGGAGATACATCAGGCTGCCTTGCTGACGTGCACCCAGTAGCCTGAAGCTTCGGACCTGACACCTTCCCTCCAGTGACCTGCTCATTTTGATGCACCCAGGGACATGCTGAAGAATGTCACAGTTGTCTTTTTTATATACACCTAAAAAGCTGTTAATGGCACCCAGACCACAGACCACAAAGATGCCTAGAGTCATCCTCATGCTAGAGAAAACAAGGAAATAGTATTTATGAACAAAATCTGAACTCTAGTGTCTTTTTCTGTACCGCATTTAAAATATAAGTAGAGAGAAAAGCAGAAATGAGAGTGGAGTAAGGGTGATATGCTGGAAAAATAAACCACCCTTGCCTCCTTCCCCTTCCTGAGTCAACTGTAATATCTTTTATGTAAGCATTTTGGATATTCATCAATTTTTTTTTTTCTGGAGACATACAATAGTGTCTGGGGAAGCTACCTCCAACTTTGGTTGGAGACGGTTACCATTTCAGTTCTTACACATAGTTCTTATACACCAGCTACCTAGTGACATATTCCCTTTCTGCTTTCTTGAGAATAATGTGCTGGGAAGTATCCAGCATGGGAATTACAGGAGTGGGAAAGGAGGACCAGATTTTAAGTAGCAAGTTAATCTTTCAACCACCCACATGACACACCCACCTATTCTTAAAGCTCAGCAAAAGTCATTTCTCTTGGTGGTGTTTGCCAGCATTCTCAAGCAGTGTTAATTGTCCTATCATTGGTGCTCCAACAGCACTTCACCCATACCTCTGTCCTGGCATTTATGTCCCTGAGTTAGAGTTGAATTCTGTCTGTCTCCAAAGACAGCCTATGAACCCTTTGGGCTTCAAATGGGGGTGGGAGAGGAAGAAGTGGTTTACCTGATGAGATGAGGCACACACTCAATGTTGGCTATCTTCGAGGTGAAGGGGGAGGCCACTGATGCTTCCTGCTCTGACAGCGAGATGCCTGCATGAGCCATTTTCAAAGCCTGGAATGATCCAACCATGTCATACCTGGGACTGTTCAGGCCAGGCTATTCTCCATAGTCCAGCTTTACAACACTATAACCTTCATTTCCCGGTCTCTGTTCATGTGGTGCCTCCCTAGATCCATAGTCACCAATGAGAGGCACCACCTAAACAGTGATCCAGAGGTAGAACGGTGGTATGGTGGTGTGTGCATGCATCTGCACACATGTTCACATAATGTGTTAGCCGTGGGGGTGCAGATGTCAGAAGAAATGGAAGCACTCATTCAGAAAGTCTATTCAGGGCTGGGTGTGTTGGTGCATGCCTGTAATCCCAGTGATGTAGGAGGCTGAGGCAGGAGGATTGCAAATTCAAAGCCAGCCTCAGCAAGTTAATGAGACCCTGACTCAAAATAAAAAATAAAAAGGGCTGGCAATGTGGCTCAGTGATCAAGTGACCTGAGGTTCAATCCCAGTACCCCCCCCAAAAAATCATAGAAAGTATATTAAAAGGATGACAGATTTGTATAGACTTTGGTTGGAGACCATTACCATTTCAGTTCTTACACATAGCAGGTCATTTTCATGAAAAGCAGGGAGAGATGAAATCTCCACCTTTCCCTATTCTGAGTGATCCAGCCAACCAAGTAACTGCTGGGATGCGACATACAGCATTGTCACTGGACACAGAGATCAGGTCACACTTACACAGACTTATGTAATATTAGTATGTAGTAAATGTGTAGTCTTGTTGAAATAAGGGCTAATTTGTTTCTCATAAAGACTGTAAAGTGTCCAAATGGCCCACAGAGAAAACTGGTCAATAGCCCAGAAAACTTCTAGTCCCATAGCAGTATGGGCTTACAAGGAGATTTTGCATTTATATAGTTTTATAGAAACACAAAGTACCTGGTGCCATAACTGACTAGTTTGAAGTTCAAATAGTTATAAGAAAATGTAAGAACATTTTCTTCTTCCTCTTTTCTCTCTCAATGATTTTTCTGTCTCTATTATATAATTGGGGGTCATCTACCATATGTTAGAGTTAGTTTACCCATGATTCTTTTTTCCCTCACACAATGACTCTTTGAAAGATACACTATGTCTTTTTTAGCATTTGGTATCTTTGTTTTGTTCTAAACATCACAAGATTAAGAGGAAGGGATATCCATTCAAGGTTTTAAAGAGCAGTCTAAGTACTGCTCATAAAACATAAGGCTAAAAAATTCATAATGAATCTCCAAGGATAAACATAGTTTTTTTTTTTTCACAGAACTTTGAAGAAAATATTTAAGAGGAAAGTATAACAAATACCTGGATCTTAAATACCTAGTAAGCTTTGGAAATGCAAAGGAATCTTCTTCTTCTTCCTCTTTGTCTGTTGTACTGGAGTTGAACCCAAGGCCTGGCACCTGCTAAGAAAGCTACCACTGAGCTGTACCTCCAGCCCTCTCTTGCACTTCTTGACCCGCAATTAGCTACTAAAATATTTTCTTATGTACATAATTCTCAAGGTACACTATTGTTTCAATCGTATCTTTAAAACTCAAAATATCAAATGTGTACTATCTTTTTATCATGTATGAGAAACAATCTCAGAAACATCTAATTTGGATTTTGCTATCATCGTATGTGATGACCAAACACATTGGTCTAAGATTTCACTGAGATTAATAAATTTTGATAAATCTAACTCTAAAAAAATTAATCCCAGAGTGGAAGTTTGTCAGGAATAAATATAATTTACACATTTCTCAAAACTAAGAGTTTCAAACTTTTCCTTTGCTCAGACTTTTTCAGCTAAATGCCCTCAAGCTAAAACACTCCACTTCCCTGAGATGTCATTTCCTTATTGATAACAGGTGAGATTTAAACCAACTAATTCCTGTGAAGTCCCTTATAAGTCTGAAATATGGGGGGGGGGGGAGGCGTAGGTAGCATTCCCTTGTTTTTGTCATTCCAGGAGTTGCTAGAAAACAGTGAAAGGGACTCCTCATTTTACTTCTTTCCACTTCCGACCTACACTTGGGTAGAAGAGGGCATCCACAGCAAAATGATCAGGTGGCTGCTGTGGAAAGATGAGGAGACAACCCCAGGGGACCTCGGGGCCTCTAAAGGGACACTGAGGAACTGCCCGCATGGGCAAAGGGCATCTCTACTCACTCCACAGTCGTTGGCTCCGTCTCCGCACATGCCCACATAATAACTGCAAGGAAAAGGATGTGAGAAATCAATAGCTCAACATGGCACTCGAATCATATGGAAATCATACCTAACTCACATGCGGGGATGGGGTAGGGTGTGCATGTGTGCCTCTGCACATGCGTGCCACATCCTAAACACATGTGGAATCAGGATGAAGGAAAATGACTGGAGAGACTTAGTCCCAGAGGGGGAAGGACATTACATTATTTAAATTGTTTCAATCAATCACAGAAATGGTTGTGATAGCACCAAGAACATTGGCAAAGACAGTAATCACACACTTCAGAAGAAGTCCTGTTTGATTTTAAAAGGAAGGGATAGCCATTCTAGGTTTTAGCCCAGAAAACCTCTAGTCCCATAGCAGTATGGGCTCAAAAGTCAAGCTTAAGTGTGCACAGTCATCATTGTAACACTTTCTACACAACTTAATACAGAGCTCACAGCCTCAGCTGGCTGTGGTTTGGTTACTACTGAGAGTTTAAGAGTTCAGATATTAGGATGAGAAACATTTGGTATAGAGTTTCACAGATATAACTGGAGACATGTGCACAGATTCTTGATGCATCTCAGTGACAATGAGATAATATGCTTCCCATCTATGACAGTTTGATATGCAAACAGGATATAAATAGAAGAACAGAAATTAAAACTGCTGCCAGGGAAAAGGAATCTCTGATACAAGACACAGTCTGCCCTTTATTATCAGTTAAATAATACATTATAGGTATTGATAAATGGCAATGCTGAATGAGATACAATGGCATTTTTCCACAAACAGATAAAACTATGCAAGTCAAAAAGGGGAAAAGTCAAGTTCCCTTATAATATTCTGTCACAAGCCCTCTGTGGGTAGCCTCCTGAAGTGATAAGTCTGTTAGTGGGAACTCCTTGGGGCACTCCCCACAGGGATTGACCGGCCTGTGCAGGTGAACTTCCCCTCAAGCTCTGCCTAAGATCCCACCCAGCACCTGAGACGGGTGTGACCTGCCAAGATGTCAACCAACCTGCTGACTGCAAGACATCAAGAAGTAAGACTCTGCCCTTGAAAACTAACCCCTGCCTTTGATGTACCCCCTTAAATAAACCACAGAGGCGTTTTGTCTTTGTCTAGTACAAGAACCCATGTGGACTAGATCTATCAGGGGCTTCGCTTGTGTAAATATATTTCTGAGTGTTTGTATTTTATTATTGGTTAATTATTGGAGGTATTAAAATTTAGTGTGGCTTAATTATCTGAGATATTAAGATTTAGAATGAGAAACATTTGGTATATAGTTTCACAAATATAACTGGAGATGTGTGCACAGATTCTTGATGCTATTTAGGGTGGCTTGGATTCTTCTGGGCAGAAAAAACCCCCAATGAGATGCTGGCCATCTTCCCCTCAAAAATATTCTTATTGTCAGAATATAAAAAATTAACCTTTTTATATGCCAAAATGGTCAAAAGTACACAAAGCATATGGTTGGACCTGTGTTTAGTCCAGTTAGAAGAAAATCACCCTATAAACATTTGCATATGTGTGACAAGACTGTCCACAACTGCCTTCCTTTCTTCCGGTTGAAAGTGTGTGTTCAGCCTTACGTTTTCCAGTGTTCCCTGAATTCAGAAGGAGGATCCAGACAGCCCTGTGCACATGGACACCGACAGAAGCACAGAGGAGGAAGAGGAATTGAGAGGACAGCTCTTTCCAAAGAAGCAAGTGTCTCTCTGAGTGAATTTTGTTTTAGGGGAGCATAGCTTTTCAGAGTTGAGAATTTAAGTCGACATTTCTCAGACATTTGAGGCAGAGAAAATTACTTTCTTCAGCCAGCATCACGGAATGATCATGGGCTAGTTATTTTAGACACTGGTTGGTTATTCATCCTGAAAGCCACATGGAAGTTAATAGGCAGTGTTAGAGACTTCCTATGGATATGTAGCAGCCAGATTCAAGGGGAAAGGCAGTCTCCTGATTTCACTGAGAACTCATCAGCAATTATCTAAAGTTTAAACTACTCTCTGTTCCTTTTGCTTCTTAAAATCTATAAGCCAAAGACAAACACTCCCAGCAAGTAGCAGGTGGATCTGGTCTCAGCAAGAAACATTCTGCTCTGATGTTGAAGCCAGAATTAGACAGGAAGTCAGTACAGATCCATAAATGGAGTCAGGTTGGATTAAGGAGGCTAAGTTTGAGTGAGTCCGGAAAGTTGGAGACCATCCCCTGAAGGACTGAAATGTTAATTCATTCAGAGCCCTTCCTCCACCCTTATCAAGAACCTGCCCCTGCTCCAACCGGTTGCCAAGGTAACCTGTCTCAGGAATTGCCCCTCCCTACAGGGAGCCACAAGATTATTAATTAATGTGTCCTTGGCTGCTCCACCCTGACCTTCAGCCCACCTGTTTCCCACCTTTTCCCACCAAGCAGCATTTCCTAGGCCTAGTCTTGTATGCAGGAAGGAGAAAGATAAGGGAGAGAGGGCAGGAGAATAAAGGAAGCCTAGGACATAAAAAGGGCAGAACGTCTTGCTTCTTGGGATACCAGGATACCAGATATGGCCCCCTTCTCCCTCCCGGGATAAGTCTATGTTACCCCTTTTTAAATAAACCCTGCTTTATATGCTTGCCTCAGTGTGCTTCTCTAATGCTCAAACTTCAACATGTGAGGAAGTAGGGCTCCTCACCGGTAACTGGTGGTATCAATGTGATTTGGTCATGCTTTTTTTATACCAGGATTGAACCCAGGGGGCGTTTACCATTGAGCGACACCCCAGCCCTTTTTATATTTTATTTGAAGACAGGGTCTCACTAAGTTGCTTAGGACCTTGCTAAGTTGCTGAGGTTGGCTTTGAACTTACAACCCTCTTGCCTCAGCCTTCTGAGCTCAAGAAATAAGCCACCATCCCTACCTCATCTGTGTTTTTGAGGGAGAGAAGGAAAGATCTGTCTTTGACTTTGACCTCTATATCTAATCCCTGCCAGGTGCCATTTTGCTTTTTCCCATGAGGACTAGAAGGTTACACATCTTCTAGAGGAACTGATGATTTCAGGTGGTAACACATATGCTTTCACATTCTGAGCTATACAAACCCCCCATTGCTTCCTTTCTCCACATCTCAGCAGAAGATCTTCCTCTAAGATACACTAAAGTGTATCTTGGGCCACAAAATGAACGTTGTTGGAGATAGGTAGCCTCTTTAATGGCTCTCAGTGGTCGCCACCCACTGACACACTGCTGTGAAATCTACTCCCTTAAATGTGGGCTGGTCCCACTGATTTGCTTCTAATGAGGAGAAGGCAGCAAAAATGACAGGAAGTCACATCTGAGATTAAGGTATGAGAATGAGCAACATTCTCTCTCTCCCCTTCTCCATCTCTCTTATTCTTCCTACTTTCTCACTTTATGGAGGCTAGCTACCACACTATGAGCTTTCTTATGAATGGCTCACATGTCAAGGACCTGAGAGTGTCTTCTTCCAACAGCCAGTGAAGAGCTAAGGCTGTTAGTCCATCTGCCCACAAGGCACTGAATCCATCCAACAACACATGAGAGAGAGGCTGATGGCACATCTCTCTTTAATGGAGCACTGAGAAGACAGCAGTCCTGACAGACACCTGATGACATCCTTGTGACAGACCCTGAACCAGAGACTTAATTAACTAAGCCAAACCTGAACTACTCACCCACAGAAAGGTAAAATAATAAATGGTGTTATTCTAAGCTAAGGATTAGGGGAATTTGTTATGCAGCAATAAGTAACAAATACATTCTCCTTTCATGCGTACCACCTACTTTAATTTCTGAAATTCTTCAATAAGGCTTGATTTCTGCCCAGGAGACATTCTTGCAAAAACGGTTCCATTCACCAGAATCTAAAGAAAAAAAAATAACCATTGCAAATACGATTAGGAAGAACATTATAAAAATAGAAGTCCTGAAAAATCCTTCCTGGCCACTGATTTAATATAGCATTGGGTGGTATGTCATTAGAGCTAATGTCAGGAAAGAGAATCAAGGGATTTAATACTTTAACATTGAACTTTCACTTGAGTCTTTCATCACAACTCTATTATGTTTTTTCCAGACCATTTTTCCAAGATGAGATAACCTCTAATTAATAATAATAACTAAGAAGCAGCAGAGCATAGAAAAAAAATGCTTAAGGAAATGCAGCTCTTTTTACTACACACTGTCTCTGAGGTGCAGCACAGGCAGAGAAAAGAGCAATAGACCAGAAGCTGAGAAACAAAGTTCTGTCCTCAGCTGTGTTCCAATGAGCTATGCAGACCTTAGGCAAGGGACTTAACCTCTCTGAGTCAGAGCTTCCTATGTCTATGAGATGGAACCAGACTAATGGCTTTCTAGACACCTTAGGGATCTAGATTCTACCATCCTTGACTGGTGAGATGACAGAATTTTTAAGGAACTGCTAACAGATGGTTGCTGCCTTAAGCATGTGCTCCATTTATCTCCTCCACTTTGACAGCACAACCCTGCACAGCACTATTTTAAAATAGGACACATAGAGGACAAGGTAACAAATGATTTTGAAAATAAACTGTGGGGCCTTTGTTCCCTCCCACTGTAATTTAGGAATCAAGACAGGAAGGGGAATACAGCCCAGCCTGACAGGAGTTGGTGGCTTTCAGAGGAGAGCCTTGGTTTCCAAAAGGCATTGTGTTTGAACCTATCTGGGAAATTCTCCAAGGTGGGGAGGGAATGAAGGATGGAAGCTGAGAAGGAATTGACCACAGGGATGAGGGGAGACCCCAGAACTCAACCCCTGGAGAGGAGGCTGTGTGCGTGTCCAGGACCTGGAAACTTCTGCAAGGGCAGCCCCTCTGAAGATGCTTATTCCTTAACTCTGTGACAACCTCAGCGGTCATCATCGCTCTCATTACTCTCTTCCCACTTTTGCCCTACTAATTTGAAAAGCAAAACAAAAACTTCTTTTTCCCAGTACTTACTTTTGGAAGCAAGCTGTTGAAATGCTGAAATATCACTTGGTATGATTTCCCACTCATTGCAAAATGGTAACTGCTCCCTGTTTCCCCATCAGGCCCGGAACTGTTTCCAATATTAACATAAGCTTCCTAAAACCAAAAGGGCATCGTTTTTTACATGGGTGCTTGAGGAATGTCTCTGCTTTCCTATATTTTGGGGAAGGAACTGTCAGGGTCAGCAAATGTAGGACGTGTAACTTGCCCATGGAACTTTGATCCAGGGGAAGAAGACACGCAAACTGTCCCCTCCCCAAAGTGTATGCACCTACGTGCTTTGACACCACGGTGTTCTGGACCCTTTCCCCAGAGAGAAAACTCGTGACATCAGTCTCCCGTGGAAATCATTCCAAGGTACCAGCTAGTAATTAGAAGGAAGAACGCTCCATACCTCTCCTCCTCGTGCAAACGCTAATGTCCTAAGATCTCTTACTGTTCATTTGTTCAATTACTTCAGTGTAAAGAATCCTTTTAGGTCCCTCATTCCTTTCAGCATCTGACCTCTTTGACCCGACCAAAACAGGTGACCCCTTTCTTCATGGCACTCACACCCTCTTCCACACTCCACGTCCCATTGTGCCAGCCCATTTGTCTTCTCCAAAGTCCTTCCCTCCCATCTCTCATCTGTCAGAGCCTTACTCTGGGGGTGTTCTAGCCCCACTGCTCCCCAATGGGGAGGAAGCATTTGATGCCTCTGAGCTCATCAGGTCACAGCTGAAAATGTTTTTTTCATGCCACATTTCTCAGAGGGCCTCATATTTATGTAGGACTCTGAATTCAAATAGCAGAGGAGATGACAACATTTTATCCATTAGAGAAATTCATGTCAGGGAAAGCTTTGTCATTGGGAGACAAGGTAAAGATAATCCTCTTCTAGCACCAATTGCAAAACAACTAACAAAAGACATGCTCTGAAGCCATCCACATGGGACAAGGACAGGAATCCCTCTGCTTCTACTAGAAAGGATGGGAGAGGAAGTGTGTTGGAGAGTGCCTGGGAGGAGGATGGTGCTGTGATGTAACTTCCCCCTCAGATGACCTAAACTTCGGTAAAGGTATTAAACTCATGAATGAGCAGGTGAGTGGACAGATGGTTAAAATTAATGAAGGTCCTGAACTCTGACATGGACGACATGCATTGAGCCAAACTAACCCACCTCTTCCTAGGGACAGGGTCACTCTGTACAGTTGTGCAGTTTGCGTACTACACAAAGGCCCACTCTATACCTTACAACCTGAAAGGCCAGAGCAAGGGAGCATTTTTATAATTCATCACCTGGAGGGCCATCTCTTTGAAGTCACACAAAAGCATAGGTGCTCCCTTTAGAGACAGAATGCAAGCTAAAGCTCATTCTCATCACAGGAAGAGCTCTTCTGTTGTGCAAATGCACAGGAAGTTTGCCATCTACAGAAACCCAGCACCTGTTCAACTCCATGTCACAGGCACAATTGACATGGCAGGGATCTGTGGAATCAAACAGACCTGGCTCCAGTTTCTGCTCTGCCACTTACAGTGTGTGCCTTGACAAGCTTACTTTTCTCTGCCTGTTTTCTCATTTGTAAAATACATAGTTTTCCCAAATGCACACAGTTATGGTGAGGACCAAATGGGAAATAACGGGCATAAATCAGTAGTTCTCAGCCATGACTGCACATGGGAATCTCCAGGAAAGAGGACTGGTGTAGGCTCCCACCCCAGGCATTCTGATTTAACTGGTGTCTCCTGCATCGGGAAGATTGAAAACTCCCCCAGGTGACTATGTTATGCAGGAGTACTGCTGGAAATACTTTGCCAACTGTCACAGTTTGGTCAATGAGAGGGACCATTACTGAGATGACTTCCGGAGCTGATGAGGCTGTGTGGTGTCAGGCCGTCCTCCACCAGCCCAGGCCCAGGGAAGGGGCTTCTCACATTCACTCACTTTCTTCCCAGATCCCATCTCTTGGTTCTCCATGAGTTGCCAGGTCACGGAAGCAGGAATATGCTCTTCTGGTTCACTGGCTTCAACAATGATTACCCGGCTGCTTGGAGGAATCATTTCAGAATTCTTTGCAACAGTAATGGCTGTTTGAAGATTATCACCTAAAAGGCAAAGAAACTTTGCTTGTTTTAAATTCAGACCTCCTATATCAGCAACCAGAATTGAGTTCTTCCTCCTTCACTTTACTTTTGGGGGCATCTATTGCTTTGTGAATCATTTTCCTCTCCACCCAAAACTGTCTGCCCCGAGTGGGCAAGTACTGGGTTCACATCTCCTTTCAGCTGCTTGGCATTGTGTCCGAAAGTGTTTAAGCACCTTCTGACTGACTAACCCTCAGGTGACACATAGCGTGTAGTTGTGAACATAATATGATTTGTGTGATAGCACAAAGCGATTCTCAGGATCTGGATTCCACATAACCATAGAAATCCCAGGGCCAGGCCATGATTGAGGCATTCTCCAAGCCTGGCCCTTCTGCCCTGGGCTCTGTCAACCAGAGCTCATGTCCTTTACACAGAGGTTTCACTGGGATTCTTGATGACAGCATATCTGTTCTCATGTTAAACATTTGCTGTGAGTCTCTGAGCGCTGTGCAGATCCTGGGTAGAGGGAATGGGTTTTAGACAGAGAGAATGAGATATGGTCCCTGCCTCCCAAACTCCTGGTCCTGCTGGGGAGCTACACAGGTAACTGGATCACAGGGTAGAAGCCTCAGCAACAGGACATATTTGTTCCATGAACTCACTCAGCCCACACATCTTTTTCTTATGCCTAGGATACAGTCACCTTGTCAGGCCTTCAGAAACCAACACACCTGTGATCATCACGGTCCTGATGCGGGCTTCACTCAGCTCCTTCAAGACTGGTTTGGTTTCCTTTTTCAAGCGATTCTCCATGATGAGAAGTCCCAGAAATGTTAACTCAGATTCCACTTTCTCCCTTTGGATTCAGGGGAAAAAAATCAATATTAAAGTGTAGCCATGTAGATTCAACCATTGAATTTTGTTCCTTTTCTTTAAAATGTCTATGTTTTATTAATGTAATACATGCACATGTTACAAAAAATAAAAAAGAACCCAAGAGTTTACAAGGAAAACCAACAGTTCCTGCCCCTACAACCTCACTTCTTTTCCCATTTCCAGAGGCAACCACTTATAAATCTTTTAGCTACTTTTGGTTTTCAACTCCAGTTTTTTTTATTTTTAAACAATGTTCTTATCTTCCAACCTTTCTGTTAGTTTTTAAAAATTGTGTTAAACATATATATTTTTCAATTTGCATCTTTCTCTTTTTTTTTTAGCTTGCAATCAAAATTATAATTTATTCAACATTTATTCAGTGCACTCAACATACAAGGTTCCATAATAACTGTGGAACATGAGGTCATTCTTTCTAGCCTGCATCTATTACCACCAGTAACGACGGAAGGGCTTTGGCCAGGGTTTGGAGTTTTGAGAATTTGAAACTGGAGACTTGTGTCTAAGTGGATTATAAGTTATGTAGGACCGCTCCTCTGAAATGGAACAGGATTCTTAAAATGTAAATTTGGGGCCAAGGACTCTTTCTTGACCCTTCATTGTTCTGTTTTTTTCTGGGCAGAGTAAGGGTAAGCAAGCAGGAAGAGAGGAGGGGAAGGGAAAGGGAGCCCTAAGGATCCACATTCCGCCTTGGGTCTGAGCACCATTTCCTCAGTGCATGGTGTAGCGGACTCTCAGCCTTTCTGGGGCTCTACATGATGAGCCAGCTAGGCTCTTGTCATCTCTCTCTGGCTCTGGTGTCCCTGTACCCTACTTCTACCCTGTCAATTCAGCTAGCACTTCCCACCCACTTTGAATCTGCACAAGTGTGTTGATCTAGCTCATCTGCAGTAATCATTCAAACTTAGAACACAGGGAAGAAATTTCTCTCTGGAATTGAGTAACAATTTCTCCATCATTCATTAAAGAAAAATCCACTTACTAAATAACTACTTTGCTTCAATTCTCTTATTAGGCACTTTGGCACACTCAGAAAATCAAATATTACTCCTGTTTTAGTGAGTTCAGAAAATTCTATAAAAGAAAATCTACCTAACATGGAATTTGTCAAATTTAACTTTATCATTTCTTTATTATAAATTGTATTAATATTTTTATGTGGACTGGAACCAAAGGGAAGATACCAAAATCTTCTCACCAATTTAATAATTTTGGGGGGTTTAAGATTCATAAAGAATTTTATTTTTAACAGTATTACAGAGGTGTAATTGTCCTATAAAAACCACACATATGTAATATATACAATCTGATGGTTTCAGCAATATGTATACACTTCTGCAACAAAATAATCATAATAATAATCAAAATAATAAACATATCCACCACCCCCAAATGTTTCCTCCTGCTCCCGTTTTTTGTTTTGTTTTGCTTTGTGATAAGAACACTTAAGATCACCCTCCTAACAAAATTTTAAAGTGTACAGGATGGCATTGATAATTATAGGCACCATGTTGTATAGCAGATCTCTAGAACTTATTCATCTTGCACAACTAAAAGTTTATACCCACTAAGCAGCTTCCGCTCCCCTCTCCCTTTTCCTTCGTAATCGTCATTTCACTCTTTATTTCTAAGGGTTTGATTGTTATAGATACATAGTATAAGTGGGATTGTGCAGTATTTGTCTCTCTGCAACTGGTTTATTTCAGTTAGCATGATATACATCCTGGTGCATCTATGTTGTCTGACATGGCATGAGAGTTTCTTTTTTCTTCTTCTTTTTTGTACTTTGAACATGAACTCATGGGTTTTCAACCACTGAGCTGCATTCCCAGTCCTTTATTATTATTGTTATTGTTTTTTATTTTAAGACAGGATCTTTCTAAGTTACTTTGGGCCTAAGCCTTCTTTTTTAAGGCTGAATAATGTTCCATTGTATGTATGTACCACATTTTCTTTATTTATTCATCCACTGATGGACATTTAGGCTATTTCCCTATTGTGGCTATTACACACACACACACACACACATACACACACACACACATGCTGCAAAGAACATGGAAATGCAGAGATCCCTTTGAGATTCTGATTCCAATTCTTTTGGACATATGCTTGGAAGTGGGATTGTGGCACTGGGGGATCATATGGTCCTTCTACTTTTAACTGTTTGAGGAAACCCCTTACTATTTTGGATAGCAGTTGGACCACTGCACCTGCATGTGTTTCCACTAACAGTGTATATAGATTCCAATTTCTCCATATCCTCACCAACACCTGTGATGTTTTTAATTTTCTTAAACAGTCATCCTAATAGCCATGAGGTTTTGATTTGCACTTCACTGATAGTGATGTTTAGTGCCTTTTCATGTACCCATTGGCCGTTTATAAATCTTATTTGGAGAAATGTCTGCTCAGACGCTCTGATCAGTTTTTAATTGGGTTATTTATTTTGTTGTTATTGAGTTATGCTCCTTATACATTTGGGGTATTGATTTCTTATCAGATACATGGTTTGCAAATTTTCTATTTCACTCTCTGGATGGCTTCCTTTGCTGTACAGGAGATTTTTAGTTTAATATCCACATGCAAAAGAATGAAATGAGAACTCTGTCTTACACCACACACAAAAACCAACTGGAAACGGATCAAGGACTAAAACATAAGACTGGAGACGGAAGCTCCTGGAGGGAAACATAGGGGAGCGTTTTCTTGGTATTGGTCTGGCCAATGATTTCTTGGCTGCAATGCACAAAGCACAAAACAAAAACAGAGACAGACACGTGTTTTCTGTTTCACGACTCCTGCCCTCATTCGCAGCTTCAGGCACGTAGCCCTTCTTCTCCACATTTCCAACAACATCACTACTTCAAGATCTTTGCACCCACCGTTCCTGTTCCCTGCAATGCTGGCCTCTGGGAATCTGCCGGCTTGCCCTCATATTTTACTCAGATCTCTATTCAAATGCTGCTCCTCAGAGGGCCTCCCTGCTCACCCCCTGCAAAATGGCACTCTCTGTCTTCTGAAAAGCCTTCCTGACCTGCTTCGTTTTCCCCCTTCAGGACATTTAAAAATTGCCAACAAGACAATATTTTACAGATTGATTTTATTATCTGTTTTCCTCAATTAGTATATAAAGTTCTTAAGGCAAGGACTTCATTTTACTTACTTCTGAATGAATCCTCGGTTCCTTGAGGATCTAACACATAGCAAAGGTCAAGAGATATTTGCTGAATCAATGAAGAGGCAAATCTCAGTGAAGTATTTCTTCTGTTTTTTTTTTTTTTTTTTTAGTTTCAGGTAATATTTTTTTCAAGTTATCTCAAGAAACTCACTTCCCCTCTTATGACTCTAATCTTTTAGAAGTTTTTGATTTTCGTAATTGGAAAACTTTGCTAAATATAATTTGATCCTAATAAAAATCAAAAACTTATCTCTTTACCCTTTCTGAAGATAGTAAGTAAATGCTAAGAATTTCATAGGCTCCTGAGATTCCCTGGGAAACCTGAGATGGTTGGAAATCTAGCACATTTTAATATTTTGTTATATTCCTAACATTGTCTGTTCCACTAGTGACTCTTAAATAGGAACAGCTGCATTTGTACGTGGCAGCTGGGCAGTGGTTACACTCCAGAAGTAGCTATGTAAATCTTGACTTCACATATAACCTTAATGTTTGTTATTCAAATTTGTGTTTGAAAAATTACAAAGTCCCATGTGTTATGAGTCCTTGTGATTGCTCAAGAATAGCAAACACCTGGAATGCTAAATCAGAAGATGTCACTAATATATTTCGAAACGAACTTTATGATTGTATTTCAAAGATTAAAATGTCATGGCTGAAAAGCTCCTTAGAGCTTGTAGATGGGGAAACAGGCAGAGTAAGAAAAGGGCAATGATTACTGATTATCTTAGATGGACTTAGGCTGCAAGTAATAATATTAAACCCAGGACATCAGTATTTGATATGAAGGAGCAAATTACATATGAATAAGGATCTCTCTATCAGCAACCATAAATCAAATATCTCTAAAACAAGTAATACATAGTTGATCAGCTATTCAATTTTCCACAGTATTTCTCTGCTCCTTTATCATAGATAATTTTAAAACAACCATTGAAAGCTAAAGAATATCAGAAGAAACAATAGTGTATAGATTACCATCTAATGAGGACAATTTTCCCCTTTAATGTAATTAAGAATATTGAATTTTATTTCTTAGAAAGAATTCAATTTGTACTCATTACTTTCCCATATCTGAGAGAAGTATAGTATTCAGCCCTGAAAAAACAACAACAACAACAAAAAAAATGAGTCTAAGTGATTCTATAAATCTTTCAAATTTGCAACTGTCCCCTTCTCTCAACCTTTTTATATGTGGGACACCCAAATATTTTGTTCCCATAGCATTCAGAGGTGGGAGGAGAGCTGAGACTAAGGTGGTGCAGGGCCGGAATAGCATATGCTGTTTAGGAGTCAGAAATCTCAATGGCAATCCTGTTGTTCTCCCACCAACTAACATTGTGACCTAAGTAAATCTTCCCCAGTCTCACCTACAATTGCTCATCTCCACATCAGAGGACCAGATGAGTTCAGTTGTCCATCTCCAAGAGTCTTCCTGGTGATGTGAGCTGCTCATCCATCCATTTCTAGGACTCATTTACCTCATGCACAGGGAGTCTGTGCTCTGTGCTCGTGCTGATTTCTGACTCCTTACCTTGCTAAACGCTGCACATCTGAGAGCTTCCTCATCTTCAGAACTTTGTGAGCCAGGGCAATGACACGGAAGCCTTGCACTGTGTAATTCCTCAGCTCCTGTGGGAAATTCTTGGGCACTGTCAGAAGAAAAGAAAGAGGCAAATGTAAGGTCACCTTGGCTGTTTAGATCCTGATCAAGACTCCAGGATGCTGTCGCTGTACCTGGTTTTAATTTTCACGTCATAAAACTGTTTTAATAGAAAGCTTATAACTTTAGCCAAAAGTTAGAAACAAGTTTATCAGTGTGTTCTTCTTATTTGGGTGGAAATAAATGTCAAAGGTGTGCTGGTCATCGACTGGGCTAAGGACTGATTGTTTGTGAGCCCCCAAATTCATATGTACAGACTCCCCCCCAAATGTGACTGCATTTACCTTTGGGAGGTAATTGAGTCATGAAGGTGGAGCCATCATGAATAGAATGATGACATATAAGAGATGATCTCTTTTGTTACCCTACGAGGATTCAGCAAGAAGGCTATCATCTGCAAACCAGAGTGGCAGCCCTCACCAGGAACCCAACTGGCCAGCATCATGATCTTGAATGTTCTGGCTTCCAGAATGGTGAGAGGTCTCCACTGTTTAAAATGCCTAATCTATGGTGTTTTGTTATATCAGCCCAAACTGGTCAAGACAGGGTTCAATAAGGACAGACCTCAGCACTATGTGTATTTGGATGGAGTAAGAGAAAGAGCTGATCTTCCAGAATAGGGGTTGATGAACTATGGCACACAGGCCAAGGACTGTTTGGTTTGTAAATAAAGTTTTATTGACCCATGGATGTGCCTACTGGTTTGCTTATTGTCTGTGTGTGCTTTGGGGCTATGGTGGCAGGGTTGAGTAGTCAACACAGATACTGTGTGACCAGCAAGTCCTAAAATATGTACCATCTGGCTGTTTGCAGAAAAGTTTGCCGATCCCTGCTTCAGATGACAGATGACACTATGCCAACATTTTTGTATTTGGACATGATGACTATGCTGTGTAATATAAGGAACTCTTCATGGTTTATAATGAGCTGTGTGTGTGTCATAGGAAAGCAAGGCACAAATGGGGATGTGGTAGCTGAGGTGGAAAAACAACTGGGTTCTAGTTTCCACTCCCCTCCTGACTAGCTTCCTGACCCAGGCCAAGTCGCCTGTCTTCTGCACCTCAGTTCCTCATCCATAAAATGAGAGGGTTGCAGATCCCTATGCCCCCATTTATGTCAGAATTTCTAGAATAATTCTAGAATATTCCTGAAGGTGGAGATCTACTTTCAAAGAAGTCCCTAATTTTACTTTTCTTGAAGAGAGAGAGGTGGGGGTCACAGAAGATGGTGTTCACCTATGGGAAAGATCAGGAATTTGGACAACAGAAAGAACTGGAAGGGCTGCCACGAGAACAGGAAGTGGCAGGTGACAGGTCCAACTCTTCCAATAGAACAAGGGCAGTAGATACCAGCAGAATGCCCCGAAGATGCTCACTGTCTCAGTGTGGCTGAAAACACAAGACAAAGCCAAAGATAGGCCGTCATCTGTGAAAGACAGTTAACGGGAGCTATGAGGAAGATCAAAGGCAGAAAAGAAAGGGTCACTTCTAAGGTCAAAAAAAAAAAAAAAAAAAAAGACTCCAAGTAGAGAAACTAGAGCCAGCATTTGCAAAATCTAGAGTTCTATGCACAAATTGATGGCTATCAGCACTCATAAGGAGAAAAGATGAAAATCAGGAGAAAAAAGTCCAATTTTGTCCAATGAACTCCTTTGAATGCAACAATATTCTTATAAACCTGACTGTTGCTTAGAAAGTACATATGTTTATAAGACTAAGAAATAATACAAATCATCTCAAAGTCTGGTCCAGAATAATAAAATGGTTGTAAAAATGATCAGTTATCTTACTCTGATATCATCTAATTTACTTCAATCACCCTTTTTTCTAAAAGATTTATCTTTCCTATATTCTCCTTCCACTGATTTGTCTGAGCCCTCAAAACTGGAACCACTCCTCCTTCCCAGAGGTGACAGAGACCTGTTTGCAGAACCAGACTAGTGTCCAGACCTCACCCTTTGGTTCCTTCTGAATACCTCTCATTCTCACCCTCCCTCTCTGGTTCTCTGACCCAAGTGGCTTCCTCTTCTGACTCCTGATGCTTTGTCCTACATTTCCTTCCCTGGTACCTCATCGTCGTTGTGCTTTTCTGGCTGGACCATGGCAGGTTCTTTATTCTTGGCCTCTATACCTTGAAATTATACCCTGCATTATGGAATCTTCTAAACCCACTTTCCACCCATCCAAAAATCAACCAACTCCCCATTCATTGATTGTGGAGCTTTTTGCATTTGTGTGTGTTTTCACGGCTGCTTTTTTGCTTTTGTGTTTAGCCTTTTAAATGATTTCACCTCTTGAAAGAGAAAAATGTCGGTACCTGTTTCGGGTCTGCAGAACCTAGCCACCATCTCTGGGGCACCCTTCATGTAGGCATGGAAGTGATGCTCCCCGGCCAGCTGAGCAATCACAGACATCCTCTGCAGGCTTGATGAAAACGGAAACTGGCGCAAGATGGCAATGGCTTCTACAGGACTCTGCAGAGGCATCCACAAAAGGGAGCTTAGAAAGACCACAAGAGCTATTTCCCAGATGCATGTCAACAAAATAGTTTCCTCCTCCATGAGCCTAGCACGTCATACAATAGTGTATTTGTCACAATACGGATACTTTCCTGGCTCCCTTCTAAGGTGACTTCCTCGACAAGTTGTCTGATCTGCAAGTCCTGTCCCCTTGAGTGTCTGGAGAATCCTAATAACCTTACAGCTAAGCTCACTTCCTGTGAGATGCTTCCCTCCCCCAGAAACAGCACACGGCTCCTGTCTCTGGACCCCCGTGGCTCATTCTTCTGCTTTTGTTGGAGATGTTGGCACATCATATCACACTTATTTGCACCTGTATTGATTTTTTCCCAGTCTTTGGGCTCTTCCAACACAAGCCCAGCATGTCTTAGTTTGAATCCTAGCATACGGTCTGGCATTCCCCAGTAGTCAGCAAGCAAGTGCTGAACAAACGAATGGATGGATTTACGACTAAAAGAATGACCAAGGCAACTATGGGGTTTGTTAAGATAAAGCTTAAAACTGGGAACATAAAAATAGGTGAAAGTCTGAGAAGTTTCACTCGTCTTAAGGGAAAAGAGCTATAGGATTTAAAGAAGCAAATCATACCTGGCTGGCTTCTGGTCCTGGTTTTATTATTGTGTTTGAGTCTGACATGCCAAATTTGTAGGCGTTCACATTACAATCTTCCATTTTCTATTGTAAAATGAAAACATTTATAAGATGCCTTGGAGAAAAATAATACAAAAGAAATATCTCTCATTTTAATAACACTTTAATCTTTTCAAAGTCCTTCTCACATAGTTTTCTCTTCTAGGACAATTATCTTAATATTGTCATTGTCAAATTTCTATTGTGTTGATTTATATTTAAGACCTTTTTGTAGAATGTCAAAAAGCCAGAAATATTGTGAATATATTTTAAGTTGTAATTGATGAAAAAGTGCTGGCTGCAGATCAAGGACTCTTCCTAAATGGTTATGTCTAGTAATTGGAGGAGAGATTAAGTAGAGATATAGTCTTCAATATTGTGGAGCACAATAGCTTTTAGATGGGTTAGAATTATGTCCTGAGATAAACCTGAGACTGTTTCTTTATACTATATCTGTGCTACTAACCTAATTTATTTAACTAGGGAGTTAGCAAGTTAGCTATAAGCCAATTAGAAATCACATTTGAAAATGGTTAGTATTCTTTAAATGCTACAATGGTAGCAATCTATACCACTGAGAAACCAATACTAAAATATGGGAAAGGCAATTAGATAGAAAGAGCAGGGGAGGAAAAATAAAGATAGCATCTCTTCTCTACTATGCCACTTAGTTGTTTGATCTTGGGGATATCACTTCATATCTCAGATTTTAATTTATTCTGAAAAATATTCTTACATTCCTTCTAGAGCTAAAATTCTTAAGAATCTATAAGGATTCCTCCTTAAACTCAGTGGAGGCTTCCTAACTAACAAACTCCAATTTTGATATTTAACTCAAACCTGCTTCTGACTCAGCCTTAAGCCCAATGAATAATCTTGCATATTTATGCTTTGTTGGCGGGATACAACTGTTCTGACAGTTCTTACAGAGATAATATTCAAGATTTATGTTTCCAAAATGACCCCGACTTGTATGTCACTTGTAGGCAAACCGACCCTCCTCTGATGGGGAAGGAGACATTACTGGACCAGGATCCAAGTCGTATGTAGTAATCACTCATCATTGTTCCAATGACGCTGGTAAGGATATTGCTGCATGGTAACATACAGGTTCTTCTCATTAAGATCCAGTAAACTGGTTACTGTTTTGTCTTTATGCCAAAAATTTCTCCACAGCAAAAATGGTTTTTAGGTCTGGGGTTGTGGCTTAGTGGTAGAGTGCTCGCCTAGCACGTGCAAGGCCCTGGGTTCGATCCTCAGCACCACATACAATAAATAAAATAAAAGTATTGTGTCCAACTACAACTAAAAAAAATAAATATTTTTTTAAAAAGTTTTTAAAAAATGGTTTTTAACTGACTTCAGAAACTTCTCTCTCTACCAGATTCCCCCTTTAATTCATTTGGCCTGTAGGAAGCTAAAATGCCTCTACCACACATATTTCTATTAGCTTCTTCACAAGGTATGTTTCATGCCCCTACAAACATTTGTCTCCATTTTTTAAGTTGTTGATAAAACTTTATTGTTTTATTTATATGTGGTGCTGAGACTCGAACCCAGGGCCTCACACATGCTAGGCAAGTGCTGCACCACTGAGCTACAACCCTAGCTCCATCCATGTTTTACACGTATAAATGCTCTCTAATACTTTATATATCTCTGTAAGTGGCTTTAGAATGCTTTATTTGCAGGGCAGCAGAATGTAATTAATCAGCTAGCTCATTCATGAACACCCTCCACTCATTTGGCACACGATAGTGTTCAAAGCTCCTCAGAGCTCATCATCTCCGTGCTCATCAGGTCTGTGAATGAGATATAATTATCCCAAATGAACATATGAGAGACAGACTTGGAGTTTTGACTCTGATTTGCGAATACATGACAGAGACGGGTGGAAGGCAGAGCTCTTCCCGCTATGTCATGGGAGTCTCCGGGATGGGCTCACAGCTTTCAGTTGTCATTTGCACTCAGCTCAGACATTGGAATCCGTTGGAATGAGGATCCTCCAGGTTGATATGTATGATACAGTAACTACCAGCCACTGAAGCTAGTTTTAAAAAATAAATTATCTTTTGGTACCAGAGATTGAACCTAGAGGAGCACCAAGCCACATCCCTAGCCCTTTTTCTTTCTTATTTTGAGACAGGGTCTCACTAAGTCCTTAGGGCCTCATTAAGTTGTTGAGGTTGGTCTCAAACTTGCTATCCTGTGGCCTCAGCCTCCCTAGTAGCTGGGATCACAGGAGTGTGCCACTGTGCCTGGCTGCTATTTAAATTTAAACTAAAATTATCAATTCAGTTCTTCAGTCACCTTGTCACAGTCAAGTGATATATGGCCACAAAAGACCCACCTTTATAGAACTCTCTCTCCCAGGGTGTTTGGAGAACATTTGCACCATGCTATAGCCAGTCAAGAAGGTTTTGAGGTCAAATAGTTTTATTAAATGTTGCATATCATGCCCTCTCTTGAATATTCACATTGCAACCATGGTATATTAAAGAAATCCTGAAGAAAAATCTTTTTAACTTCGTGTAAACAGCAGTTTCCAAATTTATTTGCTATGGAGCCCTATTTCACATTACACTCCTTGACAGAGTTTTCTGAAGCGGAGGTTGGCAAATTCTGGCAGGATCAGAGCAGAATTCATTTTAACCACAGTTGGAAAGCCTTCAAGACTCCCAGCACAGATCTCTTTACATTCTCCTCATTTGATTAAATAAGCCATGAACTTACCCAGGCCGTGCTTTCAAACATTTTGAGGTCCAGAGGGTCTCCCTGGATGGTCCCATCAAGAAGTATCAGAGAGTGGCAGCTGGCCATGGCTGCACACAGAGGTCCCCATGGCAAAGCCTTGCCAGAGGCAAAGCTGTGGACTTTCTGAAAACTGGTAGAGAGGATAATAAGTTAAGGTCTTCAATAAAATCATTTTGCATACTCTGCCCCTGAAAGTTTGCGAAGGCAGAGAGAGATTCAGGCACCTATCCTTATACTCAAAGCCCTTCAATGGCTCCTCCTGCTCTACAGGACTAAATCCAGACTCTCTAAACTGGTAGTCAGGGTCCTGTGGGCCCCAGTTCTGCCTCTCCTCACAGCTGCTACTCCTACTGATGTTCTTTATGTCCTGGATTCTAGGCCCAGACACAATTTCTTGCTATTTCTATACTTGTCCAGGGACTAAGCTGCCTTCAATCCCTTCTTCATTTAGTTTCTTCAGTTTTTAAACAGACTGCTCTGCCTGCAGAGTGATCTTTAGACAACCTTTCTTTGAGTTGGAGATGAATTTCCTTCAACAGAGATTGCCACTGGTCAAGTTAAACTGTAACTTCAGGGGGCTTGGTACAATTCCAGGGTTTTTTGTGACATTACTTGCAGCCATCTGACATAATGGCCTTGCTGTGGCAAAGCATGTGAGCAGGCAACTCTGAGCTATACCTGCAAACGCTGTGGAGCTGGCTCCAAAAACTACATACCCTAAGCCAGAAGGTCCTAGTTTCATGATGTAGCACGGTAGGAAAGGAGCCTACCTGGTGGTTTCAGGCAAGTAAAAGCATGCCTTGGCTCGGCAGTATTTCTTGCTACCCAGCCCTTCCAAATTTGCTGTGTTTTCCTGAAAATCCCAGTCCATATATCCTGCCTCTAAAGACTGTTTTCCTCTTTGACAGTATAGAATGGCTTGGTTTCCCTTCCTCTCCTCCCACCTCAGAGCTGAATGGCAATTGGGTCTAGTTGACTCTACTTCCTCAAAAGCTTCAGAGTACAAGAGTGTGGGAGGGAGATGGAAGGACTGAAATGGCACACATTCCATCATGTTCACTGTTCTGGCTGACAGAGGCCCTGTCTGTCTAAAGGAAGGCCAGCTGGGACACTGAGCAGTCAGGAGCAGAGACACATGAGTAGAGTTGAAAAACCAACTATCTTCTAAAGAGTCACACCACCTGTCTGCTATTATCTTGTGCCTGCACTGTACCTGCCCCAATACCATCTTGGAGGGCCCCTATATGACTTCACTGACCATCAGCTGCCTCAGCCACAGTTTGAAGCCAAAATTGGGTAATCAGAGCCAAAGAGCAGAGGTCATTACCACTCAGATTGAGAAGACAAGCCTTAGCCCTACAGGGATGGAGCTAGGAGACTAGGGGTACTCTCTGTGGAGGGCCCTCCTCCCCTCTCCAGTTCTGTTCTGAGGTAGGTGTGTAAGTGATTACTTTCTACTCTCTCTAGAGCTACCTTTTAGCCCATGTTTATATAATTTTGAGGTCCAGAGGGTCTCCCTGGATGGTCCCATCAAGAAGTATCAAAGAGTGGCATCTGGCCATGGCTGCACACAGAGGTCCTCCAAAACTTATCTCAGGTACCATCTCTTTCTATTGGCTTTCATTGATCCACCAAATTTCAAAACATTTTCTACATCCACCCACCATGTTATTATATAAACCAAGACTGTGTGTCATGCTTCCTCATCTTTATTGCTTCTTCTCTATTCTGATTTCCTGCCTTAATAGTAACAATTTTCTTGGCCTGTGTTGTACATTGGGGATGAGTATCTTTGTACGTTTTGATCCCACTTGATTGTGAACTCTATGAGGGAGGAGACCTCTGTCATATAAAATAAGGAGCCTTATTTTCGACCTCTTCACTACAACTACTTGCGTCAGAAAGACTTTGCAACTATTAATCAAGCCTGATTTTGATTTCACACTGCTTTTGTGTTTTTTTTCATTCCATTCCTCAATCATTCACCTTATTCTATTCCATTTTTTGAGGGTGCAATTTGAAGACCTACTTTCCCGGTCTGGATCAGAACTTAGGACTCACTCAATTAAACAAGTCAGAAAAATTGGGAGCTGATTCCAGCCCATTACTATATATATTTGATGTGATTCTCATCCTTCAATACTGGAAGGATGGATTTGAGTACCACCAAGGCAAGCACACCATCACATTTCATCTTCCTTTAAGGGACCTACCAGTTGTTGGCAGTAGGAACAGTCCCCCAGAGGTCCAGCCCATCTTCCGTAAGAGTGCCTGTCTGGAAAAAAAAATTAAAATTGGTATTAGTGTAAGATTTAAAGCATTTAATTATGATGTGATTTAAATGAAACTGAAGCTTCCAAGAAATTATCACAGATTCAATTGTCCAAATCCTTTGTAAGTGTCAAATTTTAAATATGCTGACATATGAGTCCTTAAGACTATGTTGATAATCAGGTGATTCAAGTTACTATGATGATAAAATACAAGTGCTTTGTTTTGGTTTTGTTTGTTGTTGTGTCTATTGCTGTTGTTATTGGAGAAGCTCAGTAAGTGAAAATCCAACAAGAACCAGTGTGAGTTGACTCTTCAGTTGGCATCTGCTGTCTTTCCAAAGCAGAGCTCAAGATTTCTTTTTTCTTTCTTTCCAAGACTGTTTAGTTCACAATTTGCCATCTGGTTCACAGTAATTTTCTAAAAATATGGGTGACAGTGACTGTCCAGATTGATAATGAAATGTTGGTAAAGGGCTTTGAAACTACGGAGAGAAACTAAGTGCTAATAATAGATATTAATTAATGTCCATGAATGGGTTTTATTGTGAGAACAAGAGGAAAAGGCTCAGGAGATATGATTTGCAGTACTATGGGAAAGTGTTTGTCATATAATGTAACCGAGAAAGCAAAATGGAACCGAGTTCTGTCACAGCACTTAATTTTTTTGTTGTTTCCCAGTCATTCATTAATTGCAGACCCTGGTGTCTTGCTGCAGTCGGCTAACAGCATCAGTCCTGCTTAACACCCAGACAGAGTGCAGCCCCCCACAGCTGCTTTGGCACTTCCAAATCAGAACAAAGCATTTCCAAGCACTGCAGAATATCCTATTTCAGCACTGAGTTCTGGGCCTCTGACATGAGTTTCTTAATGTCATCTCTGCATAAGACACTGAATTTTGTAGTTTCCTATCAAAATGATATCTGTTATCATTCAAGCACATCACCTTAACATAATGGTTTACTGAGAAGGGCTTATGATGCTTTTCATTCTTAAACTGAGCAGAAGGGCAGAGATAGATTAAAGGTGAAATGAACAGCCTAAGGGGACAGTGTCCTGTTCGTTGGAGTGGCAGAACCAGAAGCAGCCCTTCTGGAGTCTTCCACCACTAGAAATGTTAAGCAAATTCTACGGGACATGGGGAAAGACAAAGCCCTTTCTGAGGTTTCAAATTAAAGAATTAGGAATCTTTATTTCACTCGTTCATTTGGATTCCACAAAAGAGCTAACTTGATTGAGTTATTCCTTGAAATAAAAACAAACTTTTCAAGACCAGTTACTTGCTTCATTTCCCTCCTGCATTTTACAAAGGCCCAACCTGTGTGTTTGTTTTCCAAATCCCCTTGGGTTGTTCGATTTCAAAGAGTTAGCAAGTTAATTCAAACCGAAATGTTTTCCTGATGACTAGATTATGTTTTTAAACATTAATATTTTGAACATGAAAACAGAGATAGTGCTGAAGCAAGACTGAAATGAGACTGTGCTGCTTCTCTATGTGAAAAATGACCCTTTTACAATAAGCTAATAATAAACAGAAAGCTCAATTATATTTGAATTTCTAAAAGGAATAAGATAGGAAAAACAAACAAACAAAAAACAAAGCAAAAGCACTGTTAGCATGAATATAAGCCCAGGCTTGGGATAAATTGGACAAAAAGAAAAGAAACTTGTCTTAGAGAACTTCTAACAAACCAATAAAAATAGAAATATATATGGGGACATATATACACAGAGGCCCAGTGATAGGTATCTTCTAAGTTGAAATAACACTGGTTAAAAATTCAATTCATTGTAAAGTGTGTTTATTTCAACATCACGTTGACAGAGTTTTATAATGTAAAATTTGGAAAATAAATATCTTGGCAACAATTCTAGTTCAATCCTTCTATCTAAATAAGGCCATGCAGAAACTTGGTATCCCATCCAGGATTATATTTCTCATTTTGCCAATTCCTAGTTGGGAGGTCTTTGCACTACAGCATGCTGTCATGCCATATGGAATTTGGCCAAGTAAGCCTGGGAGCAGTCCCCCAGACACACTAGCAGATGACAGGAGGATGAAAAGGAAGGAGTTTTATACAGGAAGTAAAATGAGCAGCTTTGGGAAAAAAATTGGCCATTGAAATGAATGAATATATAATGCACATATTTTACCAGTGGTCCTCCTGTATTCTAGACACTAGTGAGGCTGGTGGGTAAGTAATGAGAATCCCTGTTAGAAAACTTCCAAGGAGTTGTTATCTGGCCCCGAATCCCAAATGAAGCTGCTGCTAAATTAACCCTAAGGGTTCTGACTGATGGCAATTGAGGACTTCCTTTGTCAAATAAAACACAAAGAGATAGGAAACTAAAATAATCTAAAGCGATACACAGGTCAGGTCTCCTGGGGCTTTTCCAGTTTATTTTCAACTCTCTGTTTTGACTCTCCTAGAACTAGGAATGATCTCTTTCTTCAGTTGTTCACAGGTGGCCTCCTCCTCTGTCCTATCTCTCTTCTTCCACCTCTTCTCACCAATTCCTTCAGATGGGATAAATAAAGTACCTATAGAAATGTCACTTATCTTCTAAAAAAAAAAAATTGATAAGGACTCCCATTCTCCTTCCAGATGAGGCCCCGCCTCTCAGCTTGTGTGTCAGCCCCCAGTGCTGTTCTCTCCAAACAGCCTATTGTCCTCTGTTCTGGAATGTTCCTGCCTCCCACACCGCTGTGCTCTTAACAACTTGCCTCTGACTCTGGACCTACTTCATCATGCCCGACACTTTGCTCAGACCTTCACCAAGCACACATCACACAACATGATCATTGTCTACACTCCCTGACCTAGGTCTATCTCTCTTTAATGGAAGAGCACCGTGGACAGCATTGGTGGGTTAATTAAGCATGGCCAAAGCCTTGATCAATTATCTAAATGCAAATGAACTAAAGACAGGGATGGACAAACCCAGGCTCACTGTACTACACAAGCTAAGTTTCCCGGCAATACTGAGGGCAGGATCTGAACCAGTGGGCAGCTGGTGCTGAAGTTCCTCAAGTCTCCAAAGAAGAGAAGGTCTAGGGACCTGCCCCTGGGCAGCAGTGTTCCCATCTGGCACATACTCCCCCTCTGCCACTTTTCCAGGCCCCTAAGCACAGAGACCACCTGCTCTAGCCTGGAGCCCTGATCCCTAAGGAGAGAAGAGTGGCAGGAGTGTCTAGACACAGGCCACTGTCCCTGCCCTCTCTTTCCTTACAAAAAGCAGAGGACAAAGAGGAATTGTTACTTGAGCTACAGACAAAGCACTTCAAGAAACAGAAATGTTTCTCACATTTTTTCCTGAAAAAGTCCAGCAGGGAAGTTATCAGAGTAAAAGATTAAAACACACACACACACACACACACACACACACACACACACGGCACCATAAAACTTTAAATTTCACAGGGAAAAATTTCATGATATGATGACTAAATTGCAACCTTTAGAGTCACTGGAGTAGCGGCCAGAAGGTGATCACACTCTAGTTCACCGTGTGGTCTCCTCTGGCCTCAGTGTTCTCCCTAGAAGACCATTCCCCCGACCACTCTGCAGCTCTGCTATCCTCAAAACCATCAACCCTCAACCTGGGAAGTTTGGGTCTTACTTTGTCAAAGCACACGAGGTTTATTTGCCCACACATGTTGATTCTCTGTGGAGAGATACAGAAGATTTTCTTTTTCTTCAGTCTCTTCTGGGCATACACAATGCCTATGGTCAGGGCAGCGGGCAGCATGGGAGGGACAGTCACCGTGAGGAGGATCAGGGCCATGGTGGCGGTGTCTCTTGGGGGGATCTGGGGAAGGGAAAGACATCCACACAGTTAGCCCAGCACGGTAGGACAGCACCTTCTTAACGACTGCCTCCTACAACATCATGGGGGCCCTGGAGACTTTGGCTCAGAACCTTCCTGGAGTCAGTTCTCTGGGGGCGAGTATTCTTTTGTCTGTCCCTAAAAAAATGGAGACATTATCTCTCACTACAGAACAAAGGAGAACTTCAATCCTTATTCCAGGTCTTGGTTTTCTCCTAACATCCCCTGCACCCAGGCGCCCAACTTCTCCACTCATCAGACCTCCATGCCCCCTTGGGTTCCCAGGACACCAGGACTAGTCTCTGGTTACATTTCATGCAACAGCTTGATTGTTGGCCCAGCACTAGGATCTGATACAAAGGAGGGACCCAGTCGAGAATGGTGAAGGAGTGGTGAATTAGTAAGGCTCTCCCTTAGGGCTCGCCAAGATCTGAGCATATATTATTAGCTATAGGGAAGCAGAATTAAAATGAGCTTGCTCTCACTGGAGCAGGCACTGTGTTAGGCTCCGTACATTATTTAATTCTCCTCACAATGACTGCTTTCCCCAGCTATATCTACGGTAGTTTTGATCCTGAGAACTCAGCTTGCTTAATCCTGAATCAGAGCAGCCTATCACAGGGGCCAGGTTCAGACCCATAAAAAGACAAGGTCTGGGGTTCAGTTTGCTGCTCTGGAGGTACTGGATGTTGAGTGCTGCCAGGAAACCTCCATTCTCTGTCTGTACCAGGGCTTTGATTTTGCATTTCGGCTCAGTGTTCTTGTTCCCAGCTGGAACTGGCACACTGCCTCATGTTCTACACCCAGTGGCCTTAACATTTCATCCACCTAGTTCTTCTCAGGCTCCATTCTACTAGTAAAGTGTAGTAAAGTGGCCTTCCCTGCTATCCCTTGTCCTAGAAATGTTTCCTGGAGGCTTTTTTTTCCAATTGAAATGACTATGCAGAGGTTAAGTTTGAGTATGAACTCGAGTTATGTCTTTGTCCACCAATATGCATTCCCTGGCCCTGACTCCACTCCACAAACATGCAGAATTCACTGATGCCACCACTTTGGACACCTTAATGAGGTCATTCAAGCTGAGTTTCGCACCTGTGTTTGGATGCTTTATTTACATCTTTTTCCTACCCACCTATACACTTATGATCCCACCCTGCATGTCTATGTAGAGACTGTATGGTATACAACAGAACCAGACTCTGAGGACCAGAAAGGACCTCAGGGTCATAAGTGAAAACCTGCCCTCCTGACCACACCTAGGAAGAGAGGCATCCAAATGAAACCTGATACTCTGCAGCTTAAAGGGATCTCAGGAGTTATCAGTGCTATAAAATTAAATTCTTAATTTAAGAGCCCAAGCAAAACACATAAGTGTTGGGGATTACTGGGGATACTTTCAAATACGTCAGGAAAAAGTCTAAGATCCTTTTCAATTAAATCTACTACCTTGCTAGATTTCTCTCTTTTCTGATGGCTGGTTCTAGAAGACCCTTGTACATCCTTTCTTTTTGTTTTGCTCACTCAAATTAGTGTGCCCTTCCTGCTCTCTGACCTGATTGACAAAATCTCTCTCATTTTATCAGACTTGAGAAACATGTATTTCCTTTAAGGCTCTTTGGGCTTGGATGTTACACATGTCACACTGGGAGGGACCCCTTGGCAACTTTTCATAACTGCACTATCCAATATGATTAGATGGCCACTAACCATATACAGCTATTTAACTTAAATTAATTAAAATGAAATAAATTGAAATTTCATTTCCTCATTTATATTAGCTATATTTTAAGTGCTCCATAAGTACAGGTGGCTCTGTGTTCTCATATTAAACAGTGTAAATACAGAGCCGATTTACAGAATGATAGAACCAAGAAGCAAACTAACCTAAATTTCTTGTGTTAGGCCGAGCTGTTAAAAAAGCTAAGCTACTGAAAAACCTTACCCCCCCAGTACTTACTTCATGGTACATATATATTCCTAGGGCATAGAAAAATCCTACAACCCCAAGACAGGCCAGGAACACAAGGAACTTGAAGGCATCGCTGTATAGTTTGAAGTTCAGAGGCCGGGGGTAGAGGATGGATCTCACCAAATCCCCTTTTGCTGTATTGTAACCTACATGGAGACAATCACAGGTGGAGTAAGGCCCTTGAATACACTTTCCAAACCCAAAGTGGTAGAGTCATTGGAGCTTGGAATGAGAGCAGCATTGCTCTGACCTCACACTGTATTTGCTTTCCTTGTTAGGAGTCAGCAGAGCAGTCAGTGGCCTTCACTTAGGCCTGCTCCATTTCTATTGTTCTGGGAATCAGTGTTTCCATGGCTCCTGCAGTGCAGCTCCCCATTCCACATGAGGGCTGAGAAAAACCGAACTAAGGAAATGAAGAATGTGTTAACTAGAGAAAATGAGATGCTGCAGAAAGACACTTTAAAGTAGACATGTGTTGAAAACAGATATTCAAAAAATTGAAAATTAAGAAAAAGGGAAAGTGCAAGTAATATCCTAATATATATATGCATATGTATGTGTGTATATATATATGCATAT